ACATATACATATATATTTATGTACTTGGTCTAGACTCTGAAACATATACATTTATGTATCTATAAGTAAAATTGTTTGTCCTGACTGACTGAATGATCAAAACATTAGGAGTGCTTGGAAAGCAGTTCAATGCAATTTTTCGTCTCTCCTCCGATCGACTTTACACTCACTTCTTTTTTAGACCAGTCTGACCCTAGCCATTTTAATTCAATTTAAATCCATTTTGGATCAGCGCTCAAAAAATTTTAGCTTGAAGATCGCGTTTTAGCGATTTTGCAAAGCTCATAAAGTACAAGGAACTTTTTATATTTTATCCAATCTGCTTCGTACTCATTTAAGAGGTCTTAATTAAAACTCGAACAAAATCAGGCAATTTCTTCTACTGGGTTAGCTGATAAATACTTCTAATATATATTACGATATTTTATGCACGTTCATGAGAATAAGAGAGAATATACTTTTGCTTAGGATTTTTTTTTTGGTACTACCCCCTATGATCTAGCCAATTACCAAGGCATCTCAACCCTTGTTGTTTTTTTATTTTGTAATGAATAGGATTGTATAGGCTGTTATCAGGTATCTAATGTGTCCGAATTGCGTAACACATTGAAGGAGAGATCTCCATTCACATCCATATTCTTAAACAGTTTCCACAGCCCCGTCGAAAGATCCAAGTCTATTATACTCCTCAAGTTCATTATATTCTTATCCCTGAGTAATGGCAGAAGAAAAAAAGAAAGTGGATAAAGTGGATCAAACAACATAAATTTCCAAAAATAAATTAAATTCAATTTCGGAGTAGCTTATAATTTATAAGTTGATCGACTGCATGTGCACACCCAATAATATAATCACCATATCGACAGGACACGAAGTCAGGACTTTTCCGATTTTTTCAATTACACAAAATTGGCATTAGTCCTATTTGATCTAAAAAAGGGGACTATGTTTCACTTTTCAGGATCTATTTTTTAAATGAGTTAAAAGGATGTCAGACTTTTCTGCGTTCATATCAAATGGATAAACAGATTTCAGATAACTCTGCTGAGTAGTAAATTAGGTAGATCTCAAAGATCAGATTCTCGCACCCGACACCCGAGATCAGGTGAAGGCAGGGAGGGACAAAACTATTTGACAATTATGTAAATTTATAGTTTTTTTGGTTGATCATTTTTGTTATAAAAGGCTTCCATTACAGCAAGTCGAGCGTCCGGTGTCAAAGCTCACCTGCTAAATATAATACCGTTATGCGTAAACCAGCAAAAACTTTTCTCAAACATAGAAACATATTCAAATTCACATGCAATATAAATATAAACAGAAAAAAACAGTCTCTGAAAATCATCCATATTTAAAATAAAAGACTGGCAATATTTGCTATTCTTACCACAATTGTTTGTCGATAATCCAAATTTTGTTTGTCAAAAAATAATCAATTGCAATATCGTATAAGTACAGTTTTATCTGGATATTCAGTATGCTTAGTTATTTATTTATGTGAATATGTCGGGATCAATATATTTTACTATTTTACTATTTTACTATTGGGTATATTCGAAATACTGAATCTCAATTAATCAACATTTTAAATACTCTAAATTGATCGTTATAAACAAATATGTAATTTGTCAGTTTATTTAAGCATGAATTCTATTTTTGTTACTTACACAATGCTTTATCCTGGGCTTTCCTTGTCAGCTTATGTAATAACAATAACATTAAGCATTTAATTGTTTTCGAAAACTAAGGGACAGACAATTCAAGCATGAACTCTGAAAGATGTATAGATATATATACATATATATGCTGGAATAGCAAGCGAAGCACTTACTATTAATGAATAAGAACAAACTTTAATTAAAAGTTCCTATAGTATTAAATAAAACAAATTCTTAGTCTAAAAAAAGCACATACATACATGCAGTATAATATATATATAGATATATCTATATATATATATATATACAGGTATATTATGTTTTAGATCGTGCACGTAAAATATGTTGACACAAATAATTAAACAAAAATTAAAAAAAAAAATACATGAAACCTCGCAGCAAATTGAATTAGTTGTAAATTTACCAAATTTACATGCATAAACATAAATAGATATACATATGTACAAGTATAACAATATATAATATATAAATATATATTACTGATGCATAACTATTTGCTTTCGCCCATACTTAAATACATAAGTCGTTTGTAATAACACCGGAAAAAGCAAAAACTAAAAACAAACACACACGCACACGCACACACAAACACGCACACATAGTGACTCCCATATATTAATACTTGGATGTTTAAATCCTACAAATCTATTAACACATTCCGTAAATTGGTAAGCAAATGACATATCACTATATCTGATAAGTGCTTATGGATCTGCTTGCCCCACATACACACATGCATAATTTCCCATGATAACGGTAGAACAGTCTGCATTGAGAGACATACCAGTATGCGGCGGTAATTAATATTATTTCTATACATACAATATATATATATATATATATATATACATATATGTACAAGCACAGAAATGCATATAAGTCTAACGGAAAGATGTTTGTATATATGCCTGTATGTATGTATGTACAAATGCATGCACGATCATACATGAATGGGCAATTAAATAATGGTAAATTCAGTAGCCAACCACACAAAAAAAATTATCTGTATTTTAACATGCATACATTTAATTTCCCTCGACGCGCACACATACAAGCATATGCATCTACATACGTACATTATTGTAAGTGTAGGTACAGGTACACAATATTCATAATGTTAATCAGAGTTGCTGCAATAATTGCATAGAATTTACAAAATAAAAATACATATTTATAAAGTTCCTATAAAAATATAATAAATGGCAAAAGATGTGCAGATATTATAAAATTATAAATAAAAACATGCGAAAATGTACACATATTTGTTCTTATTTCTCTTTCTCATTTTCAATCTGTTTTCATCGCACTCAATGATTGATTTACCTTAACCTTAAAAACTCAGAAAATCGATTAACTTTCCGAAACTCCCTACTACCTCTATGGTTCCTAGATGAACGATATATCCTTGGTTTTTCCATACTATAGATATAGACCAAGCGAACCAATAGTTCCAAGTCCCAAAAAAGTTCTTCTCTGCCCAGCAGATGATGCACCGATAAAATTAGTGAAAAACAAGTAAGAGGTTCTAGTCGGAAGCTGCCGACTAGGCAATACCCTGAACCCTCTTCTTCCAACACCAAATAAATTTAAGAAAAAATGTTCCCTTGGCAGAGTTCGAACTCGCAACTGACCACATTACTTCTTGTCGACTCTACTCAACAGCCACACCAGCAAAAAAAAAAATAATAATACTTTCCCCGGTAGGGTTCGAACTCGCGACAGACCGCACCACTTGCTACGCCTCTACTCAGCAGCCACACAAATAATAAAGCACATACGATAAAAAATGAACTAAAATAGCATTACAAAAAAAAGATGCAATTACCATGCTATTAGAATGCGAAGCAGACGCGCATGAATGTGTGCGTGTACATGTATACAGAAATTCTTAAAGCTGCTGCCCCATTCAATTGCGCAGTTGCATATAACTTTGGTATTTCTTAACCGATCTTTATGAACTTTTCTACAGTATATCTTATTGTACCATAGAATATTTGTGTGTTCTCAAAAAGTCAATTGCATTTAAATTATGGCTTATATTGGTTGGCAATAAAAGTTGGGTTATCAGCCTGATTTATAGCTGTGTGGTGGTAGCGGGGAGGTGGCGATAGGTATAAAATGAAAGATACTTGACATATATCTAACATTCTAGAAGCAACATATCATGTTTGGTGACTCAAGCTCTTATTATTTACCCAATTTGCTCAACAAATAGGATGTCGATATCGATTGCTTGGAAACGGAGTAAGTTATCGAGTATCGAAAACATACTCGATCTGCGCAGGCAGTAGGAGTCTTTCAAGTCTCTAGCTCTTATAGGTTCTGATCCTTGCGTTCCTAAATACGGACAGACGGACGGACAGACTGACGAACAGACAGACGGACATGGCTAGATCGACTCGGCTATTGGTGCTGATCAAGAATATATATACTTTATGGGGTCGGAGATGTTTCCTTCTGCCTGTTACATACATTTTCATTTTGCACATATACAGTATACCCCTGTTGTGTTTTGCTGGGCATTCATATTTTTTGACTATTTCGGTAATTTAGGTTCGTTAGGACGTTATCTGTGGTGGGATAAGACCAAGGATAAGTGGGTCATCTAGGAACCATATGTTTTGTCTGTCTGCTTATGCATATATTTAATCTATGTGATTAGATTATGATCTACTAAAAAGATGAACTACAAGTAATTTGTTTACATATAATATTTATTATATTTGCAAATAGTTTCTTAAACCAGTATTTGTATTTCAGCCTCAGCTATTTGCAAATAGAAATTACCTACGACACAATTTGCCATTTACAAAATATTCATTGCAAAACAAACGTTAAATCGAATCAAGCTGGTTTCTAATCAAAAGGATTTGGGCCGGGAACTTTATTTTCTTCTATCAATTAAGCTATAAGTCGAATAAATTGTCCCAAAACAGGCGAAAGTTGTGCGTATTTTTTTCAAAATACAAAAATAATAGTTTGAATTGAATTGAATATAATTTTACAAATTTCTTTTTTAGTTTTGTACTGTAAATACAATTTTACAAAGCAAAGCTAAAGGGCTTAAGGGCTTGATTTAAGCCGGGAATTGAATCATATTATTTACATGGACACTAAAAGATTTTTTGGAAGACAAAAGCGCGAAACTTCCTGAACTTATATGTTTAAAACACAGTAATAATGACTATTCCATATCACGTTTTTTTGGTATTTTCAAAATGTATGAATTTTCGCTGATAAAATCAGACATAACGCTGCACAGTCTGCACAGAAAAGATTCAAATCAGGATTACCTCAAAGAAGAAAACACAGTTCCATATCTCGAATGCAAAACTTATAGTACACATATTGGAGAGTTTTTTGTGATTAGCCTTAACATTTATAAGTCTATTTTGATAAAACGAATTATGGTATTTACTCTAAAGTAATACACTGTGTATCTCAGTAAGCAATAGATATACGTTATATCATACCCACAAAGATAAAGAGAGAGATGTAGACAATTATGTATGTATACTATGATAATACATATACACAGATCTAAGTAATATTAATTGTCCGTTGATGCTTACAAAAGAAATTTATTAGGCGGAGTCTTTGGTTATCTTATTTAATTGTAAAATTTACTTAAACTATATAAGTATAAACGGCCTAGCCGGAGATTTCTGGGCGAAAGAGAGCGCACCCGCCGCCGGCTTCGTATCGTATTTGTTGTTGTTCTGGTTGTTGTTACTCCTGCTGCTGCTGCTGCTGCCATCAGAAGCCGCTGTAGCCGCTTATGTCGGACGGCTTGAGTCGCTCGAAGACGCTCAAATGGTGCGCTGCATGGCCTGCATGATGATGATGATGCGGGTGCGGATGGGCATGTGGATGGGGATGGGCATGAGCGAAGCCCGTGTAATTGCTCTGTGGTGGAGTATGGCCATACGGATGTGCATACGGATAATTGGGGCTTGGCACGTGCAGTGTCGTTGCCGGATTTTGAACGCCATAGTGACCATGCCCATAATCCGGCGCCGAGGTGCCATGCTGCGGCCCATAAGGTGGGCCGTACATTGAGTTAACATTGACCGTCGGCAGGTGAGCCATATGCGATGTGATGTGCGCGTGATCCATGTACATTTGCGGATGCGTATGCGGATGAGCATGTGGATGCGGCGGCGGAATATGATGCTGGGCCGTTGTCAACACCTGTGCATTGCCGGCAGTTGCTGTCGCCAACGCGCTGCTGATCAAATGGCTCGCATGATGCGGATACCCGACTTGGCTATGGTTCAGATAATCGCAGTTGTTATTTGTGTTGGTGTTATTGTTGATACTCTGCCCACTGTCGGGCCTGCTGGTATTACTGGCAGGCTGCGCCAAATGGGTCTCTGTATTCGTCGTTGCCGCTGAAGCTGCCAGGCTGCTAACAGAGAAATTGCTAATCACATTGTTGTTCGTTGCGGCTTCCGGATGAACTTCGTTTTCCTGATGACAGCGCTTTTGCTGCTGCTGCTGCTGCTGCTGCTGCTGCTGCTGCTGCTGCAGGCCGAGTAAGCGGCTTTCAACAGCGGCGGCAGCTGCAGCTGCCGTTGCCGAGGATATTGCACTTGATTCGTGTTCACTTATTGTTGGTATTTGATCGACCAAAGACTCGAGACCCGACAGACTCTTGCGGGACATATCGGAGGCGACTTGCGCCTGAATTTGGCCAGACTGTGGGTTATGCTGGTTATGCTGATGCGGAGACGGCAGCATATAGGGTCTGCTGCTCTGATTGCTGTGCTCTTCGAAACGATGCCAATGCTCGGGATTATCTGGCTCATAGTTCGGTTGCGGATAATGCGAGACGGCGACGGGCGAGGACTGAGATTGAAGTGTTTGCTGGTTAACCTTTTGGGCGGATTGTTGTTGTTGTTGCTGTTGATTCTGGCCTGGTGATAGCCATTGCTGATAATGCGCCTGGACATGCGAATGTGGTTCCGCTTCGCGCTGTGCAACTGAGCTAGGGTATGATTGCGATTTATCTAGCACCCGGCCTTGCTGCGACATAACAACAAGATTTGTGTCCTGTCCATCAGTACGATCCGTCGGCGGCTCAAAATCAACAACGCTGCACATATTTGGTGAACTTGGCGGTGGAGTTTCGCCCAAATGCGGCTGATCTCTAATACCGACGACGACTTGGCTCTGATGGTTGCCCGGCATATGATCCGTAATTTGCTGCAAATGATGCTGCTGCTGCTGCTGCTGCTGCTGTTGATGATCCACCTGGCCCACTACCGGCGGTGTACCATGCGAATGTGAATAGCTGCAATTGAGGGCCGGCGATGCCATAGGCGATGCCGATGCTGTGTACAAGATGTGAGACGGCGGCGGCGTATTGTAGAGGCTGGGCGGCACTTGATGGCTGCTCTGCGGCGACGCGATATGCTCCATGGGAATCGTGTGCATGCTGTTGGCTGTCGGCCCGCCGCCAATCGATGTGACTGTCGCCGACTGCGGATTCGCACCTGAATTCGGCTGCTTTGCAGCTGTTGCTGCTGTGGTGAGTATATTCTCGAGTGTGGGCTTTAGCTTCTTGGGCCTACCCCTCTTCTTTTTGGTGGGCATCTCGCTGCTGCCAGTGGGCATGCTGCAGTTGCCGGCGCCGCCACCAGCTGCCGCAATCATGGACAGATTCAGTATATTATTAAAGTCATGCTGAGTCGTTAGTTGGACCTTGCCGCCGTTTGTTGGATCGATCAACTCTTGTCCTTTGATTTTTTTGGGACGGCCGCGTTTCTTTTTCTCGGGCAGCGGCTGTTGTGACTGGTGTTGACTTGCTCCAAATATGGACAAATAGTTGTGCTCTGCTAAAGATCCCCCCGCCGCCGCTGTTGCGCCCACAATATTGTTGCCTCTCATGGCTTCATCATTATTGCCATACATAAATCCTCCACCCCCTCCTCCTCCCCCGCCTCCTCCTCCACCACCGTCACGTGGTATCACATTGGTGAGATTTGCGTTAAAGTGTGGCAGCAGTTTATCGACAACTTGATTTGAACAATCGGTGCCGGGATCAATATTACTGCCACTGCCGCCGACATTGTCATTCCCAAACATGAGACTAGATTGCTTCATATCATTGGCAGCAGGCATATTCTTGAGCGATTCCTGTTCGCAGCATTGTCGTATACGCTGCTCCGTGAACACGCATTCCGACTCGTCCATGTCCGGTATTAGTCCATTGAGAAAGTCTCGAAATTTTTTCAGCGCCGCATAAAATGGTACTTTGTCAGCAGCGCGAGGCAGCTGAGCGCACCTTGCCGATGAGGAAGGCATCACCCAGATATACTGAAATTCAAAATAAAGAAGAGGTTTATAATATGTAAAATTAAATATAAGAAACCGTGATCTAGTCAGGAGCCACGAGCCACCTTTAAGAACAGTCTAGCGTCCTTCTTTATATTTAAAAACATCTATTAAGACAAAGGATAATCTATGTTGAGTTTACGCTTATTCCTTTGCTCCACACTATCGATAAATATATTCTTGAATTCCTTTGGTGCTTATAGACCTATGGCGCCCAGATGGATGTAAATACCAAGGACAAGGGTTTAACTTTAAAGGTTAGTGTTATTCTTCTTCAATGTTAAGGGGAAGAAGAACAAGTCTCAAAACCGATATTTATTAATCATATACAAATTAAAGATACATCAAATAGAGAACAATAAACTCGTTAACGAATGTAAATACGTTTCAGGGCACTAGCATTTGTAGTTGCCGAAATAAGTGTTGCCATATAGAGGCGTTCATGGCTTCGTCAAGTCGTCTGTCTGTTCGGCGGTCTGTTCAAGGATATTGTATATCATTTATTGGGTCAGAGATTATTCCTTGTGCACATTTGGAGATACTTTTAAAAAGGATTAACAGAGAAGTCGTTATACCCATGAACTTGAACCTGGCTAGGTAATATATACATATGTGCAAAGCGTCTATCTTGGGACTAAAACATATTCGACAATAATAACCAAATATGATTTTAAAATTTAATACGCCTTATCAAATCTCTTACATAAACATATTCTTATTAAATTTGCATTGGTATTTTATATAGCTCGAACATTCATCAACCCAGCCACGGAAATTCGTGTTGATTAGAACCATTGAATGTTTTGGATTATGTTTGCACGATCGACATTAAGTGAATTTCTTTATATAGAAGCCGTGGCACGTATAAAATAAATGTTCTCAAAAAGCTTTGAAAATTATATTGAAACTGATCGGGTGATAAACAAACAACTTTCAAACAAACGTTTTTCGCTAATTTATCATTGTTGATGGTGGAATTTCCCAAACCGTTAAAACACGTATTCATTTAGTTTGTATATATAGCTTTAAAAATAATTTTTAAGCAAATCGGAAAAAATTCTGACCAAACTGTAAAACAGGTCTTAAATGATTTTTCTTATGGATCCTTGAACGTCATCCCTCAAATCCTTGACCCCCATTTCCACCAAGGAGGTATGTATTTTTGGAAAAGTGTGAAACACCCCTCAAATGAATTTAAATAAAGAACTTTGAAATTGAGTTTGAGGCCTATCGAATGGGAAACAAAAAAGGTTCATACAAACGTTTTTCGCGATTTTCCCATACTTGTGGGTGGAATTACCACCGTCTTATCGTTCACATTCATCATATAAGTTAATAACAGTGAATTTTAGCTTCCTAGCTCTTACGGTTTGGGCTGTGCGTTGATCACGAATCAGTCAGTCAGTCAGGCAGGACAATCAGTTTTATATAAAGAGATTGACTTGAGAAGCAAGCAGACCTCACAAAAAATAGGAGTTCGAAATATGCTTACAGTATTTGTGCCGTCGACACGATCCGGTTGCCGACCGAAGTGGAACTCCTTTTTGCCAGAAAAAACCTCGAATATTAGTTTGCCATTAAAAACGGCAACTTTGGGTCGAAACCGTTGAAGTTTTTCAAGCAAAATGCGGCTACCCTCTTTGATTTCCTTTCGCGTAAGATCGGCCGAGCCTTTGGTGGCACGCGCAACCATGTTGGTGAAGCCGATGCCCTGCTTAACCAGCGTGTAATCGTCATCTGCGCTCAATTGTTCTTGGGTGAGTCCGGATAGATAGAGGCATTTCCAGAAGTGATTGCCGGGTCCAGCATAATGATGACCCTTGTAGGCAGCAAACAGACCAGGGTTTATGCCGACCTGCAGGGTTTTTCGAGGAATATATGTTAATCAAACACATTTTTGCAGTTGATCAAATATAAACGGATACGAAACACGAAATTTACAACTCACTATAACAATATCAAGATTATCACAAAGATGATCGGGTATTGTGCGCTTTATAACTTCCGCCTCGGACATGCCATTGAATCGATCGTGCTTCTTGCGCTCCTTGGGCTTCATGGTTAGGATATCATCGGACCCGCCGCTGCCATCCCTGCCGCCGCCGCTGTTTCAAGATAAAATGACGAGCTGGTTAGCAAATCAGTCAACAAATTCAAGCTGTAAACATGTAAATAAATCGGGACGTGAATGAAAATGAATAAATTATGGTGCTTTTCTGAGATATACTTATAACATCATTCATCGCTTTACATTGGGTTAAATCGGACACTGAGGGCATTTTAAGCTTTATTACTAGACCCTTGACTTTGAAACCCTCTTAAATAACTTTTGGGCATTTGTTGTTCTTCCACATAAGCCGCTCCTTGGCATCATAGATTCTTTTTTCTTGTGCGCTCTCTTTGTTTTCTGAATACCTTCATTGAGTCTCAGCTTTATGTAAGGGCCCGAATGGCTCCCATCCATCGGCTCAATGTTTTCCAGGCCATTGAAATCTATACCCGTATCTCACCCTACATATTAAATATATTTTCTATATATTTTTTACCCTTGTAGAGGGTATCATGAAATGTTTCGCTCATAGAATACTTTCAGGCAACCATTTTCAAGGTTTTCTTCACATTCCGAAGCCCCGCCTCAGCTATACTATATATCAGAAAGGTTCCCACAAACATTTTAAGAGCAGGATTAATAGTGAAATAAAGAACATGCCCTGGATAGGAACTCACCATTGTTGTTGTGGAGCTACCATTTGCATGGCATCTGCATCAAGTAGCTTTTTTTTGCGGCCCCTTCTTTTGGGCACCGAACCTGTCCTGGCATTCAGATCGCAGATGGAGTTGTTGGCATCTTGGGATTCAATTCTGGTATCTGCACTATGAGATTCCAGCAAGGGCTCCGTCAGCGATTGCTGATGATCCTTTATGCTGTAGGTGCTGTTGTCCCTGCACGACGCTGCAATGGGAGCTGATCCTGTAACTGGCACAGGCGAATAGCTAGAGGGATTAGAAGATGTGCCTGGCAGATCTACCGCTTGCTGACCTCCTGGCGACAGAATACTCATCTCTTCTGCCATAAAACTATAGGGATCATTCGACAGAGCAACCTCAACGTTATTCGAGCTCCTCGCACTGACGCTCTGCGGCATGGAAAGATCGGGGGCCAGTGCACTCTGCCCACCTGAGACTTGTACCTGCGGACTGCTGCTGGACGCGGTTGCCGCCGTTTGATTATTATTGTTGGAGTTCAGATCCTCGTGTTTATTTTGCCCAACAAGTCCAAGGCCGCCATGCTGCATCTGATGCTGGGGTGTCACAGAATGGGTGGACGAACTATGCGAGTTGGGCGTCAAAACATCTCCTGCGCTCGTCTCGTAGCCATCATCTTGATTTTCCGGCTTTGCATTGCTTGGCGAAAGTGTTCTGCAATAATATGAAATGTGCTTTCCCAATTATTGACTATTATAGATAGCTTAGAGATAAAGATAATTCAAAATTATTGAATCGCTTCCGTGTCTATAATCTTTATGAGGCTTTCATAGCATGAATACAACAAATTTATTGAATCAGCGGGAAAGTAAGCTGCATAGCCAAAAGGCTAAACATTGACATCTGCGAACCTTCTTAAAAACTACAAATTATTTCTCAAATACTATATTTATCGATACTAACCAAATTTGATATATGAAAAAAAAAAACAGTTATATACGAGAATCTTCTTACCAACTTTTGTGTATTCAGCTCTTGAAATTCTCAAATTATGCTCGACAACAACATTTATCGACACTAATCAAATGGGAGATATCGAAAAGAAAAAAAACAGATATCGGACAAATTTGAAGCCTCTTGCGGAACGGACAGACGCAACCTGATCAGGATAACAAAACTTAACTTCCACCCAACCCTAAAGGTGGGATTATTTGTCTGTATATATATATATATATTTCTATAGTTAATGAACGTGCTTCATACGTTACTCACAACTTGTACGCTGAGCAGGGATCCTCGTGGAACTCGTCAATCATCAGATCATGGTAGGGCTCCTGCAGTTGCTGCTGCTGCTGCTGCTGAGGATGCGCTCTCGTCAGCTGAATGGACTGTTGCTGCTGCAAATGGCCATGGCATTCAATGTGATGTCGATGATGGAGTTGAGTCTGTTGTGGATGCTGCTGATGTTGCTCTTGGAGCTGCTGCTGCTGCTGCTGCTGCTGTTCTTGGAGATGCAGCTGTTGTTGGCACTGGGGCTGAGTATGATGAAGGGCAAACAGTTGGTCGTGCGCATAGTGCTGATGAATATAATTGGGATAAAGATGTGGCTGCTGCTGCTGATGCTCATGAATATTCTCTTGATGTAGATTGTGGTGGAGAAGGTGCTGCTGTTGCTGATGCTGCTGCTGGTGCATCATTTGGCCGTACATGTTATGAATATGCGACGGTTGCTGCTGCTGCTGAGTAAAGTTCTGTTGCCTTTGACTGTGATTTTCCACCGGCAGCATTTGGCCAAATCCGGCTGACGAGTTTGTCTCCTTCTCGATTTGTAATAAAAGTTCGGCGGGATGCGACTGTCTTTGCTCTTGGTCCAGAGAGTGCTGCTGCTGCTGCGAGCGATAGATGTCTGAATCGCAGCTCAAATGCAAGCGATCCTGGTTGGGATTGGCCTGATTATGCTCCTGCTCGTGGCCCTCCCCGGTGCCAGGCTGGGCTGGGTCATGTGTTTGGGCATCTTTATATTCACCGTGTGGTGCCCATATTGCTGCACGCCGATCACTAGTCAAAATATCACCCGTTGTTGTTAATGTTAAATTAGTAGGAATCCTTACACTCAAGTTGGATGAGTCTATTTCACAACCATTGTTTTTATCAGTTTCCGCCCTTGTCGGCGAAGTCATAGCACTAAAACGGATCTCACTATTAAAATGTGACTCTAAATGACCCGACGACATCATGGAGTCAAGCGCTCCGGAAGGCGCATGGATGGATGGCACCTGGGCGGGCACAACTAGCTCTACGCGAGTTACGAGCGCCTGCTCGGGTGCAATATATGCATTTGTCGCGTATTGATCAATTGGTTCGGTTCTCGACAGCTGGCCCAGTGCCAGCCGATCTGTGGAATCGGCCTCTTCATCATCGTTTAGAGCTCTCTCAACCGATTTCGTCTGGCCATAGTCCGACACATGTTCGTTGGCTTTCGTTGGAGTAGCTGCTGAATCTAGGGGTCTAAGCTGATCCTGAGCAGATACACCACATATCCTTCGCTCCAGTCCATCTGTGCTAGTTGCTATTTTACAACCGTCAGGACATGTGTGGCTTTCTCTATGCTCGTCATCCCCAGACCCAGACCCAGACCCAGACCCAGCCCCATCCCCATTCCCTTCCCCATTGTTTCCATCCTTTCCAACGGCATCGTTGGCCCTGCTTTCGTATCCGTTGCTATCTCTCCTGATATAGCTTACAGGAGATAACTTTTTTCGCTTGCAATCAATTCTCGCATCAGCATCAGAAGCCGATTGCTTATTACTGTTTAGCTGTCTATCGGGATTGTTGTTATCACTCGAATTATCTCTGGCGATATTTTCGTCGAGATTCTCGTCAGCATCCGCATTTAAAGCCATCTCCGTGCCTGAGAGTTTAGTTATGAATGCGTTCAGTACCAGCCAATATTCGGCCTCAACTGTTTTGATGTCCTTTACAATTTGTTCAAGGCACTCCTCAAATATTGTCCGAATCCGTAAACACCTTATTGTTATTGCCGTGTTATGTGTTAGTATGCAGGAACTACTTGTCAGCGGGATGTTCTTTTGCAATAAACCTTCCACTTGCATCTCCCTTTCAATTCGGCCTCATTAAAACTTAATATGTTTCTCGTTCCTCGTTCGTTGTTTGAGAATAGTTTTATCTGCTCCCCAGGATTTTTCAGCAAGAGTATTTTTTATTTTGGTGGATTTAATCTGGAAGAAAAAACGGTTTATATTATTAACTACTTAATAAATCAATTTGATTTTTTTTCTAATTATAAAACGGTTCAACCTGACTGACTGACTGATCGTAAGAGCTGGGACCATCGCTTGATGAAACCAGAAACACTTCTGGCCTTATTAAAAATGACACCTAATTCGTTAACTTGATTACGGATCAGGTCAAAAGTGGAGAAAACGGTTTGGATGGGGGATTCTTTATGATAATAATCCTTGCATTTGAAGCAGTTTAAATTGAAATGGTTAACTTGACACCAAAACTGGAAGGCAACAAGGTCGGCTACTGCGGGGACAAGGATGTTTTAAGAATAATCCAGTCCCAGTGAAGCATAGGCAATTACTATTTGGATAACACGAGACGAGACTAGGCTATGGTATCTTGGTTAGCTTAAGCTCTTCACTTTGGAGTGTAAACTGTAAAGTGCGAGCTGGGGAGTTAAGGTAAGGGTACTCAGCTGCCGGTGAAATGAGCTGAATTGGCATTGTCCTGGTTGCTAATGCATGTATTGCTTTAAGATTTAATGTTGCTATGTTAATGTATATCTAAATATACATATATAGTTACATACGCATATAGTTACACATACAAGCAACGTACCTATCACACATACAGAAAGCATGCCCAAAGCTAACACTAACTCAAATGGACAGGAACCGTTCAGATTTCTCTGAGCCTACTTCGTGCGGACGCATGTTGTATTCTGCATACACACATATACATCCCTCTGTATATACTTGTTGTGTGTGTGTGTGTGTGTATATACATGGAATCATACATATGTTGGTGCAGGGGTCGGAGTTCAGATCTACCGAGTGCATTAGTTTTTTGTATGCTTCGTGAGCTGATGCTAGTTGTTGCTATAGCAGATTTTGCTTCCATTTAAGCCAAACGATTTTGGAGCCCACCTCGTTATTATTTGGATGTGTGGGTGCTTGTTATACAAAGACACACACATCCATACATGTGTGTGTGTGTGTGTGTGTGTGTGTGTGTGTGTGTATAGGTAGTTTGCATGTGCTTGGACAGAACTACACACGATTGCACACTCACATACATAGACATATGTATGTACATAAATCATAACAAATATATATCCCCAGCCATATGTTTGTATGTACGCATGTTGTCAGTATATATGTATACGAATATAGCTCTAGCATTAAATTATACTTATCAGAGCTGAAACTTGTAATATCTACACTTGTATAACCTAAGTCCACTGTGCTCTAAATTTCTTACATTTACAACCTTTACACTCTGCGATTCCTTTGGCAAGTCTTAGCTGTCGGTAACGTATGGATAGCAAAAGTACCACTGCTTTAAATAAACATCTGATTGGTTGCAATTGATTTACCTAAGATCCACAAAGTTTTCTCAGACTAGGGCGCAATTTGGCCATCTTTTAATTTTAAAAACTGTTTGTGGTAATGATTTTTCATATTTTCCATGAAATCAATACAGAATTCGATAAATCATCTCAAAAAACATAATTACTCGGGGTTAACACAAAAATTAGTGGAAATTTTCTTATGGCAACATACATACTTCACATTTGCATAAAATATAAGAAATGTTGACAGTGGAATTAGGCTATTAGCCAATACTCAAAAATAAAGCTAAGCTGGTGGGTTCCTATTAAGAAATAAGCTAGAACACCGTGTTTCAACCGGATCCGAACCGGTGTAGGTGTTGTGTATGCATTCGAGAACATCTAACACAATTTAATTATAATTAAGAATAGTAGAATATATATTAAGTCGTACCATCTATCTGTACAACCTCAAAAACTATACGAGCTAGAGACATTAAATTTTAATTATATGCACACCAAGTACATCCTAGTTACTGTTTTTTGAGACTACCCAAGAAAGTACAAGAGCAAGAAAGTGTGTCTTGTATATATGTACACATATAAATGCACGTTTAGTAGTAATAATATTTCACCTTTTGATCCATAGGTCCAATACTTTTCTGGAAAAATTTGTGCTTTTAACCTTAGGGTAATTCTAAGGACTTAAGGTTGAATCCCGGAGAGGAAAATAAACTTATTCGATGTTGTCTTAAATTTTGGAATATAAAGTACATACAAGATACTAATGTTATCGACCGTGGGAAGATCAAATCATAAAAACTTTTATAGATAGAAAAATTAAAGAGGTTCAAGAAAATGTATTCCAATCTTAAAATCATGAACCCAAACATATCAATCAAAATGTATTCCTTAAATACGACATAAACATGGAATTACGCAGTCGTGTCGACCAGTGTAAAAATAATATAATTTAAGTTCATTTGAAATATGTAATTAATTTATAATAATTAATAATATTTAATATATAGAACCCAACGAATCATCAACTACTTATGTTATACAAATTTCAGAAAGTTCGGCGTTACAAGAAACACTTCTTTAGTGACACACATTTGTAAAATATCAACGGGGAATTTTAAGATGGAGATGCATACATACATACAAACATATCTGAATACTATTGTACATGTAATTCTATGTACATTTGTATGTACACATACATTTATGTTTGTCGTAGGCTGACAAAAATATGTGTATGTCATGTGCATGTATATGTATGTGCATGTGCTGTGAATGTGTGTGTGTGTGCGTGTGTATGTATCAATGTGCTGTATGCATTCGTTGTCACGACAAACGGAAAACCCGACGAGCAAAATTGAGTCGGTCGATGAGAGGAGAGTCAAAAGCACAGAAGCAGCTGCAGCTTCATCTACCCGAATAATACTAATACATAATCGAACCAAGAAAGAAACAGTTGCATCGAATAGCAACGCACACTGGGGCAAGTGACAAACATAGGCGTTCACAACACGTATAAACTTATATACATATAACAGCCATTTCAGTTTAACGTTTAATTTTATAAGCCTCTCCTCCTTCTGTCTGCCTGTAACTCACAACAGAATAATAGTTGGTTGAGTGAAAAAAATCTGCTGCATAACTCGCATATATTTTGGTTTTTAATAGGTTAATATTCAAATATTTATTTACGTTTGATATCGTTAAACTGTATTAGTATTTAAATGGTTGGAAAATTACAAAAATCTCAATATTTAATGCTCTACATTTCCCAATTAGATTTAAAAATATTAAATACAAGATTGTAAACTTTAATTTTTATTAAAACTTTCGAAACCAAACCCACTGTGCCTTGGCTCTCTCTTTTTATGGCGTGAGAGTCGAATGTGTCGGTGTCGGCGCGTCATTGCTGTGTACCTGTATGTGTGTATGCGTGCATGTGTTTGAATGCAAACCGCACAAAGTGTCCAAAAGCAAGCTAGCTTTATACAACATTTTGTAGATATATGTACATGCATATGTACATACATATGTAGATATGTATGTACTTATGTACGCATGTATACGCACATCTGTACAAATAAATTTCAACACATGCAGTTGAATTTTCGCACACAAATTTGTTGGTGTACGGAAATTTACATACATGGCTATGAAAATACGCATGTATGTACACATATGTATGTATATGTGATTTCCCAATGCGCAATGCTACGGGACCAACAGGCTTCTTAGCTTGCAGGCCGTTCTGTGTGCATACGTCGTACAGCATATACATACATATGTACGTATGTTTGTTTTTACATCACATTATGTACTTGTGATGCTTATGGATATATTACATATTTACATTTAAACTAACATAATTCATAAATACTATAATTACTGCCGAATGTTTCTTTTTGAGTTGATCAATACATAAATACATATGTATGTATGTATTTATGAACATCAATCTCCAGCCCTAACGAAATAACCTAGAAAACAGCTCCACAGTTAAATCGTGACATACCCTATACCATATACCCTTTTTCTTGCCGTTGTTTCGATAGTATCGATTATATTTTTGAGCTTCATTTTTTTAAGATGGAATTTGTTATTTTTTATTTTGAAGCACTCATGAAATAAGAAAATAACTTAAGCAAATGATCTCCGCCTAACATTTAAATTACAGTTTATTGTCTCTGAGATTAGCCCTCTCATACTAAATTATTTTAAATGGGTATAAATGATAACAAAGTTGACTTAGTTATCTGAGTATAACTTGATATTTTGGCATTGATAATTTTCTTTATTATTCAAAATTGATGTAGTACATCTTATTTATAGCTTCTGCTCTAATGCAAATTGCTCCCTTAAGATATGGCAGGCAGGTATTTTTGAAAAATCTTGAGCGCGCGGTAGATTTAATGCCCTTCCTGTTTCCAGAAAATATGTACAATATTTAATAAAGTGGTCTGATGTTGATAGGGTATTGAATATATTCAAGGTCAGGATATCTTAATAAAAACAAAAATGTTTTCATGCAAGAAGTTATTTTTCGACGGATTGTCCTGTGGTATATATGATACATATATAAATAAAATGTATAATATAAATATAAAATAAATGCCGAGTTTGGTCAATTTATCTGGCTAAACAAAGGCGTTGCACTTAACTTTCGGCCGACGATTCATATGGTCACTATTTGATAGACATACATAGCCTGCAACAGAACGGGACGGACCAATGTAAAGGTCCTAACCGATAGCTTTGAAACTGAAAGACTAGTTCACAGCGAATCAGAGAGACGGACATACATATATCAATTAATACTGATTGATAAATGTATATATATATTACATACTTTTTGGGTCGGAAATGTCTCCTTCTAAGCGTTTTACACTTCATGTCAAAACTATAATACACTCTATTTGGGGCCCTTTCCCGTTCTTTCAATTTTTCATTTTATTTAAGTCATTTTTCATTCAAATAAAGTCTTTACTTTGAGAACAAGTGTTATACATACATATGTATGAGTTTACATACATACACACAATGTATGTAAAACAAGAATGAGCATGGCTTCTCTCAAAGCATAAAGTTCGCCGAGGAATATTGCTGCCGGCAGAAGTTTAGATCAAGCCCGCGAATGTGATTCATATGACAGTGTGTGTGTGTGTGTGTGTGTGTGTGTGTGTCGGCATTACCATTAGTTTGAAGAATCTTCGTTTGCTTGTTGGTGCGAGCAGGACCGAAACGTGGCAACATACATATGTACATACATATATAAATGTGACATTGCAAAGAAAATAAAATTGAAACTCGATAAGGTACATACAATCATGCAAGTAGGTATGTATTGGCATTTCCAAATATTACAAAATATTTATTTTTTATATTAAAAAATAAGGTTTGGTTTTGGGCCCAAGTTATATGCACCGGCTCGCACCCGGTACAGACGGTCGGGGCAAGATTTAGTCAGCTTGTCATCCTGGATCAAGAATATATAAACTTTATGGAGCCGAATATAATTTCTTTTGCCTGTTACAGACCTTTGCAAAAAAGCCACATACCCATTTTGAATGGGTTTAGGGTACAACAAAACGATCTCACATTTACAAAAATTTATGTGTAGCCCAACCGGTTTATGTGTCAACACATATACGTATACGTATGTATATACATATGTACACATACAAATGCATGACTTCATATATTTTTAATTATTATTTTTATTTTATTTATTTATTGTTGCACTAAAGTAAGTTGAATCTGGACACATTTAAGAAAATGTAACATTCAAAATCAAAGGAGTAAGTGTGTATCCGTCGATTTTATAAATGCCTCTTTTATGGCCAACAAATCCACATTCGACGATTTTTAAGCCTGTATGTAGCCGATTCAAATGAACTACAACGACTCGGCCGAACGTCTAGAATACAAACATGTACTATATTGTTTATAAGAACAATGTCTCCCTGGTAAAGGGAAATCATGCTGAAGGGTATTAAATATGCGGCGAGTCGAAGATATCCCTATTGTCGTCCGGGAGTGCTCTAGTAGTGCCCTACCGTTACAATCCTTTAAAATTTGTTCTATACATACAAATGTAGACATAAGCTTGATGCGCAGCGCACGCTACGGCTCATTAAGTAATAGATAGAAGCAGGGAAAAGAGACTCTGAGCTTTTATTGAGCTCGTGTTAAAGTTTAAGCAAGGTACATTAGGTTGGTCTGCAAATGCAAATTGAACACGAGCAACAATGAATCACAAAACAACAACAATGCGAACGAAATCCCGTTTTGTTTTCGTCGTCTGTCTTGATCGCCTAGAAGTATAAGGCCTAGAAAAATAATGCGCGGCGCGTAGAAACAACAACACAATTTTGATAATAATGTGGGTAACGCTGCAAGTAGATAGAAAATTGCAAGGCCAGAAGGTCTATAAAATCAAAGGACTACGCACACGGCGCGACAACAACATAAATTATGACGTCATATTGTATAGAATTTTATATCTTGTGTGTTTTAGCTTAAATTTGTACCTTTATTATGTATACTTAAATAGTTTATTATAGAATATAATTTATTTTAAATCAAATTTCTTTAATGTACTGATTTACTGTACCCAACGATCGCGATCGATTTAGCGCGTCGAGGCATAGGATACCCTTTTTTGTAGCAATAGTTTATAAACTTATATATTATTATTTAATGAAAACAATTGTTGTTCAGTCCTTCCATAGTTGCACACTAGATATGAAATTATATATTTCTCTAACATCGCATGAAAACAGTTGTATAAGGTATTTACATTACTGAGTAATGAGTTTAAGTACCTTCTTTTAAGGACCCTTTCTCTTTCTTTCTTTTGATCCAAAGGCCCGCTTTTTTACTTATCCACGCTTTCTGCGTGAAATATGGGCATCATCGACGAAATCCCAAGTGGAGGCAGATTAGCTAAAATATGTTAATTGATTTTAAGAGCATTTTCAAATATTCGACCGAGCTTCTAAGATAAAACTGGCAAATTTAAATCTTTCGACGGTAGGAAAAAAAAGTTAATTGAAAAAAAAACTGGGCAAAGCCGGGTAGCATCCGCTGGTATAGATATATAGATATATATATATATTTGCATAAAAGATTGAATTCAATTTATTTTCGTCAGTCGTGAGAATCGTACAGTCTATAAGTAGATAAGCGAGCAGAAACCATGTGGACCAAAGATTTTTGTGTATTTATCACACAGAGTGGGATCTAAAATCATTTTCTCGTAGTGCAATATATAAATAAATGTCGTAGTTTAGATTGGATGCACCCGACTGTGGAATACTCAATGCAGGATGCTGAAAGCTTCAGCTTCTTCTTTGATTTTTGGACTACAGTTACCAAAAAAACAATCCTATCGCAGTGAATTCCCAAAGCCGGACGCAAATGCGGGGCAATAGTTGAAACCTAGATATGTTATTTATGGTTTCCAATCATATTTCCAACAGAATTCCAAAAAATATTTAAAGTTTGTGCTTTATGTGCTTTCTATAAACTAAATATATATGTTATTTAAAAAAAAAAAGATTTAAAGAGGCCAAGATATAATAAAGACACCTGCCACCACCTGCTCCGCAATTGATCGAAAAAATGTTCCCAATTTTAATATTCTTCCTTGATTATATTTTATATATAAATCTGCATGTTATGACTAAATGATTGGCGCACAGTCCACACTGAGGTGGAATTTGTTTCGAATATGTATACTGTAGTTACCATATATTAGAAAGAAAATTTCAAAAGTTTTTAGAAAACGGTTGCATGCAATTGATAGCTAGTTAAAACGGTTCATTTTAATTTTCCAGCTCCACACGATAGAAATGCATTCTCAAAATATATGGTGTTTATATTTAATCCAATTCACACGAATTTGCACATACCCATTTTCAATGGTTATAGAGTATATACACTAGCGCCCCCCTAGTGAACGTGTATGAAATATTTTCACACTATCGCTCTTGTTTTCAGGAATATTCATTTTCCAGACAATTCTCTTTCATAGGGACAGACAGACGGAAATTTGGGGTGAAGCAAGAGTAAATTGTGCACTAAGTATAAGAATACAAAAATAAGAGATTCTATCGGCTTGTTGCTACACGTATTTATTATTTCGGTTGTGTGGTTTCAGCGAGAGATGCTTTGGCTTTGGCTCTTCGCAGTGAATGTGGATACCAATACCATAACCAACACCATTGCCATGCATACACACGAAAATTGTACGTATGCTGTATGTATGCACACACATGCATACATATATGTTTATGTATGTACGGACGGTCGTATGAAAGTGGAGACATGAGCATTGGCCATGCAACTTACAACACTAATCAATGTGTGTCTGCTGTGTGTGCAAATGTACTACAAAACGCACATAGCAGTTTTATATACAAACAACTTATGTGCATATGCACGTATGTTAATATGTACACATGCACATATGTTTATGTATATGTATATATTTTTAAGCACTCACACCTTGGGCTTGACGCCCATTGAATTTGTTTCGACTTTTGGTACACAAGGAATTATTTTGTATTGTAACATATACATACACACTCGCACACATAGCTATCCGCAAATACAAATGTGTATATGTGTTTGTTATTTAATATATTTGAAATAATAAGTGTGCAGATATTGAAATTAATTACACAACAGAATATTCTAAAAAACACACACGCACACAGAAATTACAGTTGTATTTTTTCATTTACTTTAGGAATGTGAAACAAAGCTTTACGTAAATATTGTGTTTTACCAAACTTGGCTTTTATGTGCAACAACCGAACCGAACGAACAAACAGTACTGCCGCAAATATAAATACATACTATGATCGACATAAATACATATGCATATACGTATGCATATAATGCGTTAAATATGTATGTATATAATATAGACTTCCGCGGCACACGACCGTACGGACGAGCTGTGGATTCTCTTTTACAGTTTATTAACATTCCAATCTGAACTGAGAAGTAAATTTGGGATGGTATGAAGCACGTAACAGACTGTTAAAAGAGCGGTACATTTCTTCGTCGGGTTTCTTCATAAAAATACCATAAAATACTAAATCGCGTACATAACATGTGGATGCGCTGTTGCTTTTTTAAAAGGCTGTTATACACAATGTACTTTTATTAGCAGACTGTTGTATACCTGTTTTGCAAGTTCAGCAGTGCACATATTATTAAGACGGTTGCACGCTTATTTAAAAAAAATATGTTTGAAGCACCTCCATCGTTACTGCGTGCCTGTTATGGCGCCCGAAGTATCGTGTTCGTGTGCCGTATTTCAGCCGAACTGCTAAAAATGTAAAATGAATGTAAAGCAAAAATTAGACAACTCAGCAAATGTATTTATTTAACATAAAATATGTATTTCTAAACGAGAGAAATAAAATGCACTAAAAATACCTGTGGCAAAAATTGTTTTTATACATATTAATCATTGGTATGACTGTAGTTTCAGAACACTGGCTTTGCGGTAGGTCGGCCACTGTCTCAATCCGAAACCTGATCAATAAATTATTTTGTTGGATGATTTTCTACCAAAATATGAATTAAGATAAAAAAGGAAACGCGTATGTACTAATAAAAGTATTTTGTTTTTTTTTTTTTGTTGAAATAGCTGATTTCGATCATTTTTTTAAATCGAATAAGAGGGTTGCCTCTACTATCAGGTCTTCGTGCCCTGCGTGCAATACAATCGAAACTAAAAAGTATACGATATCGCATTGAAACTGCTAACCGTTCATACGTATTTTGATTTGCTTGCATCTTTCCTATTTAATAAACTAATTGAAGAATATATAGAGAGTGTTATTGATACCTGCATGACGAAACCTTAATTGTTAATCGCATATCTTTGAAAATTTAGTTTTAATAAAATAAATCGAAATGGACGTCTCATGTGTCATCTCGAAGTGAGCATCGTCGTCAAACGGTGCGTGCGTGTATGTGTGCGTAAATTATAAAAATAAAATATAATTTGTTATTAAACTAATATATCTTCGTATTTTAGAAGTGCATTAACTAACAATTATATTCACACAATTCAACTTTTTGTGAGACTATCTAACGTTTTTGTATGTACATGTGTGTGTGTGTGTGTATGTATGCATTTATGAACAGTGACGTTTGTCAGCATAAAAGTTCTTAATGCATTTACAATGGTAACACAAGTTTCTTGAGCCTTAAAAATATCAAATGATATATTTAAGTAACATATTTATCAAAGGCTATTACCGACTTAATTACATAAACGTGTTGGGCAGATGGAATTGAACATACAAAGACCCATACACATATGTGCATACATAAGATATGCATGTGTGCATGTACAGCGTTCAAGGTTTTTGCAAGAGTAGTTCAATGAAAAGTTTACATGTACTTTTCTGTGCGAATGTGTGTGTATACAGGCAGTATACAGGCATTAAGTGTACATTACCATATTGATATTGTTACGTATGTGTGTTTGCATGTGTGCGTGTACCGTTAATGAAATACTCAATTAAAATTTTTACAATTATAGACATGTACATTCAAAATGTTTAGTAAACACATATGTTTTGATAAGTTATTTACATATATGCATTTATGTATATGTGTATGCATTCACAAATCTATATGTATGTATGTTTGCGTATGGTTTGACTGAATAAACAGACACATGTCAATGTTTATGTATATGTATTTACATCTTTAAAAAATATGAGATTTTGATTTTCATTGGTCTAACTACTATACAATTATGTTTGTGCATATTTTTAGTTGGAGGAGTGCAGAGTTTGCTCCGGCCAACACGTTAGGTAAACATTGCTAGTAGGCGTAGGATAAGAGGATAAGCGGATAAGAAGGAGAGGCACCAGTGAACCGGATTGACGAATAAACGGAGCTCCAATTAGGCGCCAAAGCTTGACATAAAACGTTATTTTTGAAAGTATTTCGTAATGTCTGATCTTGGAAGTGGCGAGGAAGGTATCTCAGGATCAAGTAAGTACTTCAAATTTCATTCCGGCAGCTGTTGAACGTACGTATGATTATCTTCGGCACGACGAATATTACATACTACTTGGCGCAGATTTCCTAAAGAAGGTAGCTTTGGTCAAGATACCTTGCAAAACAGACAAGTTTTCATTATTATTATTATTATCATCAATCTAAAGGTTAATAGCTCCTAAAGCACCTTCCACAATAAATGTGCGCAGCTCTCTTCACCTTGAAGCTTATTGTGCGGAAAATATAATAAGGGGCGCTCCTAAAAATCCCCTTTCGATAAGATATTATTGGGCATAAATCTCAGATTTAAAGACATTCAGTGACCAACTCTATTTTCGGATACGAGTATTGATCAATCAGTTAACCCCTTCACTTCAGCTTTAATGGATCCTCGCATGGATTGCCGTTAAGCAATTCATTGTGGTTATAAAATCAGTTCTATCGCGGATTTCCTTGTCAGAAATGTCTTTAATCGGCATAACTAAAATCGCTGCTAGCGCATATCTACGGAATTAGAGAGTTGCAGGTTAGTTGTTTATTTAAGACAATATCTGGCTATTTAACCTCTATGGATAAGTAAAGAGTTTACTTGTATAGACTTTGTACCATTTTTAGAAGGCATCAGTGATCATTTGAGGACCTCGCCAAGATCTCTCTGCATCAACTTTTACAAGGGACCGCACGACTCTCTCATGTTGGCAAGCCCCAACGCTCTGAGGCATATACCATATCCTATGAAAATAAAGGCACCGTCTATATTAAGGAGGCCAGGCCAATTTCCATTGCCAGGATTGATCCTCAGTCGTCTTGCCTTTGATATTGGCGATATTATGCCCGATCAAAGTATCTAATAGCCCACTTAACATAGTCAGGATCAAAGATAACACCCGATAAACTCACCTGTTTGCCCACTAAGAGCCACGGAATCCTTAGCCTTTGCTCAAAAGAGATCACTTACGAGAGAAGCTTTGTATAACTTTTTTTTCACCTTTCGGGGACTCGGTCAAATCATATCCGAAGTTTGGCCCTTTGGCACGGGCAAGGCCGGGGTATACCGGATAGTATCTATATAGATGTATTATTATATATAGAATGGGGATTTAGATAACTTATCGCATTAGGGAAAATAGGAAATAGCGGAAAATTGGAGAAAAAGTTTGCATACTTATTGGCATTCAATCATCCTCTTTTATTTTCAGAGTATAATGCGAGCAATATGGAAGGTTCTTCAAGCAGAAATGATTTTGACTCGTCCGGCAAAGGTATGTTATAAAAAAAAGGTTATATTATTAATAAAAATGTTGCATTCAATGGTTTTATTATATATGTAAAAATTTAAATAATGACACCAAATATCATGTCTGTCCGTATGAATGAGCTTGTCCATGTCAGATTTAGTAACAGTTAAAGGCTGGAAAATGACTAGACTTATCTTCGATAATTTACCGTGTTTCCAAGCAACAAATAAAAATCGATATCGGAACCCTGATTTTTGAGTAAATCCATTGGGCCCTAAGAGCTATCTGACCCCGTATGCATGAGCTTGTCGATGTCAGATTTAATAAGATTTAAAGGCTGGAAAATGGCTAGACTTATCTTTGATAATCGATAACGTACCGTGTTTCGAAGCAATCGATAAAAATTGATATCGAAATTTTGATTTTTGAGTAAATCCCTTGGGCATAGAGCTAGAGCCCCCAACTTACATGTAGCTTTTAGAATATATACATAATAATCATTCAAAGTCATTTATCAATTGAATAATTGTATACAACATTTATTCACCAATCGGATATCGTGAAATTTCATTGTTAACGTATATAAATTCTTATCTTTTCGCAGCCGTCAGTGCAGTTGAGCAGGAGCTGGCATCAAAAATGCTCCAAATTCAATCAAAACGATTTTATTTGGATGTAAAGCAAAATCGTCGTGGTCGCTTCATAAAGGTGGCCGAGGTAAATATATATTTATATTTATACCAAGACAAAAGCATTCACCATCAATAACATTTATCATAGGTTTTAGTTATTTCTTAGAATATAAATGTGGGCTACTTTCTAAGATCCGTTTACTCAGCCTTTTTCTAGAACACTCTCGAATGGAATATCTCTTTATAATTCAACTATGCAAAGATATAGGAATCAATTGATTCTAACCTTAAATTTGTTTAGAAAGGAAAGATGTGTTCGGAAAATCTACCTCAACTCGGAAAAAATAGGTCAAGGCGAAAGGAAAGTCCGTTCGTATTCAAACTGGGAGGAAAAATATTGTCTAAGATCTTATCTACAATGGGGAGGCCAAGAAATACCAGATGTTGAATTGATTGTGATCAGGATTAATTCTCTTATAGAACTGGTAGAACGTTCCGAAACCCAAGAAATATATGAGACCAAGTCAATATAAGATTCCTAGATACCAATACTTACAATTTCCAATCCATTTACTACATTGACATCAATCGATAAAGTGGCTTGTGGCAACATTATTAATTTCCATGTTTTCAGATTGGCGCAGACGGCAGACGAAGTCAAATATATTTAGCGCTGTCGACGGCAGCCGAGTTCCGTGACCACCTGTCGTCATTTAGTGATTACTATGCTTCTCTAGGTAGGCTATGTTCTGTTTTTTTAGTGAATTGTTTATGACCTAAAAATCAAATAAGTTCATCAAAATGTAGGGCCTCCGCACACGGAGAGTTTGCCAGAGGATGGCAAGTTGAAATCAGAGATGATGATAAAGGACAATAGGAGGTATTATTTGGACTTGAAGGAAAATGCTCGCGGAAGGTTCCTTAGGGTAAATATTCAATATGTATATTAAATATGTATGTTAATATTTATTTATTTATGTTTATTTATCAAAGGATTGTTATCTGACGATCCAAGCCATGTGAAATATTTTTTCAATGGTTTTGGTTCGGAGTTCGAGAGAACCTTAAGATTGTCATATATTTTAAATTAAGTCATCGAGTTTTTCAATTATAATTACCGGGCTAACTTCGATCTCCAATCTAATGGTTGGTTTATTGGCTGGTTGCTTACCGTCTGAGTCTCCATCAATATATATTTAATCTTAATTCAAAATTTTTTTAAAAATCGTATTATTTTTATGTTTTGGCTCAGCTGTTTTCTGGGTAACTAGTTCGTTTTCAAGTTATATTAACAAGTATACAAAAATAAATTGAATAATAATTATCTTTTCTGAAATTGTCCATAATAAAGCTCCGATCTCATAAACTAAGTAAATACGTGACTGATTATCATCAATTAATTCAATAGTCAATCAAAAAAGGGAATAATCTTATAGACTAAAATATCTCCAAATCGGTTAATCCCGACTAGAGCACTTATTTTTGTGTTTTATTCGTTATTTTATTTCCTTTTAATTGATCAATCAATTGACTGTATTTCAAAGCATTGTTATATTGAAATACTTTCACTTGTTTTCATTTAAATTTACTAAATAATTTACAATTTCAGGTTTCCCAAACAATAACAAGAGGTGGGCCCAGATCTCAAATTGCGTTGCCGGCCCAAGGCATGATTGAATTTAGAGATGCGCTGACTGATCTGTTGGAAGAGTTTGGAGCCAATGATGGGGGGTAAAGTATTTTTACCAATCAATCATTGTAAAGATTTGAAATAACTTCAAGTGAAAACATGCATAAAATCTAATCAAATTTTATTCAATAGTGATTTTAAAAAATTACGCATATAGCATCAAAAGATCTGTACAAAAATATTAATGTAAGATGTGTTTTTGTATCGATTCCTAAATTTCAGTTTTAAAGGCGATTTGCCTGAAGAGCGTCATATGAAAGTGGATAACAAAAACTTTTACTTTGACATTGGTCAAAATAATCGTGGAGTTTATATGCGAATAAGTGAGGTACGAATACTTTAAAAAATTTAAATCGATCAATATATATATTTATTATGTAAATTTTGACTCAATTTCAGGTAAAAAATAACTTTCGCACTTCTATAACTATACCTGAAAAGTGCTGGCTACGATTTCGTGATATATTTAATGATTATTGCGACAAAATGAAGAAATCGCCCGATTCAATCACTGCCGATAATATTGTACCGACATCTACAAATAGTCTTAAATAATTAGAAAGATCCCCAGAACTTAGTAGTTATCAAAGATGAACACAATGCTAAATACAAATACAAATATAAAGCTATTTTAAAATTCTGCGTTCAAGCCTTGAAATCAAACAACTGAGACGATAAGAGAGGGCGCGGGAACGAGGCTGCAAATGTTTGTTGTTCTCAAAAAAAAAAAAAAAAATCAACATTGTGCGACGATATGTAAATAGCTTTATGTATTATGTCATCTGCTTAAATGATATGTGATTATTTTTGTTAAATATCGTTTCTTGACAGAGAAAATCGAAAAGCTTTTAAATTAATGTAATGTAACTACTTATATGTATTTATATTCAATTATATAAAAGTAGCATTTAGAAGATTCATTTGTATATTAGTATACTTTTTACGTATATATTAATTTAATTAAATACATAAAAAATAGGGCTTCATATGTGCTTAAGTCGATCCACCAATATGCAACACAATGTTTGGTCACGCGAGAAAACAATATGCTTTAAAATTTAAAAAAGTAACCAATACGCAATATTGCATCTGTTAGAGATATATCATTCATTAGGGATGTCTTTATTTAATAAATCTTGTAACTTTTGTTGTGCAGCCTTTTCCCCACCATCATTGTGGTCGAATTACCTTTGATTTATAATTATATAACCAATTGTGGATATAGAAAATATTTAAATATTTAATATGTTTTTAAGAAACATACATGTATGGATGTATGCATATATTAAATTCTGTTATATATGGCTCTGTACCTTTGATAATACAAACAAATAGCGAGAATACTACCTTCATGATTCACAGGAGTGTTCTGTATTTAGATAATATTTGTATTACATAATCTGTGAATATTATGACCAATTTGTGCAATACATTATCATCAAATCAGTTGAAACTATCAGCTTTATATTTTGAATATATACTGTTTTGGGATCTGGGATCCATGATGCAATATTCTCAAATATACAATTTTCTTGACTGTTTAATAATTTTACGGTCATCATTAATTGAATGTCCATTCGTAGGATAAATACCGCCTGTTGCAAAACATGGCACCCACAGCAATCTGTTACTCGTTAAACTAATTTGTAGAAAAGAACACTCGAACACGTACATGTGTTTGGTAGATTGAATAGATCTATTGTGTAAATTTCGTAATAGTATATATCCAGTTGGCGTAACTTAAAATGTCATCGCAAATATGAATGTTACAAAATTGTTAAAGCTTTTAGGAATATGTTATGAATTACAAAATGTCTTTAACTAATTACTAAAACGTTTATAAAACAAAAGTTTCAATGTGATCACGTAGAATAAAAACTTATTAGGTACGAATACAAATGCATAGCAAAATAAATAGAATTCATAGTATGTGTGTATGTATATTAATTTAAACACTTATGTATACGCACACATGCCTCTGCCTATGTATTAAAAACAACAACAATTATATGAATAATAATATACGATATGCAAACTAGTGTTATATTAATAGTATCAAATTTCCGCCTATTAAATAGATAAACCATATAATATTTATTATTGATGAATGAAAACAAATACACTATACATAATGCACTACTACAATATGTATATGTGTGGGTCACAAAAAAACTCTTTAATGTACATACATATATAGATAAGTTCACGAATGCGAATCTGTTTGCGAATGTCCGGACATCCACAGATACGCTTATCGATGGACTTATTCTCTAAATTATTGCTTAGGATCCTCCAGATCAGACGATAATACATACAAGTATATTCATTTGCTAAGCTAATGCACACAGATAAACAACAACAATGATTATCAGAACAGATTACCATATGTGACAAAAAAGGTTATTTATAATACAGTGAATTTATCTTTGAATTTGTTTGGCATTACAATTTTAAGATTTTTGTGAATGAAGAAATAAAAATAAAGTTGAATAAAACAAAAGCTCCAATGCAATACTACAAAAACGTAAACCTGCTCGATTCGTTTAGTAGACATTCATATTGATTTATATCTTAAAAAATATGAAAGAGTTCAAATGTCATAAATCTCTTGGACATCACACAATGTGGAATCAATCGTGCGTAATAAGGATAAGTGCGGACTACAAACTGTGTAGTAGATGGCTCTCTGTCCATCCACCCTCTGGACTCGGGCCTGGTGCCCTCCTGACTGACCATAGCTTACTGCTATCCTTATAAACAAGCGCGTACCAAAAAATTGAAATGGCCTATTGCCGAGACGACGGCGTAACTGATCGGGAAACATGGGACCTGTCAGAAGAGCAGAAGTCATTTGCAAGCCGTCAAGTCGAATTGATCCAGCTTGAAAATGATGGCCTGGAAAAGACTCATAACATGCTAAACATCGACGAGGCAGCTGTACTTGAAAACGAATACAAAACTATCCTCTCCCGACCCCATGGTGTATTTATTCTTGATCAGGATGACGAGGTAAGTCGATTTAGCCACGTTCGACCATCCCTCTATGTAAAATCGCCAAAGTTTCAAAAACTGAAGAAGCTACCGAAGAATATATTTCCAAAACATATTCTGGTAAATATAGAATATTTAGAATATTCACATCAAGATCTCTAGAGCTTAATGCTAAATATGCTAAATATTTATTTATAATATAAATATATATATATTATATTTGTTTAATAAGAATAATTTTCGAATTATTGGAAGAGCTATGGGTGCATGGATAGGTTTTCGTTGGTTCTAAAATTGTTGGTGTTTTAATGACTGTATTGCATTTATATTTTCATAAGCTTCCAAATTTTGATGTTTGTAAAATTAAAACAATCTATCGATCGATTTCACCAAACACAACGTCCAGGGTGCCGATTATGGCAACTACATCGGCCAACATGTGTTGCTTGCCAATTTTTTCGAGAGCTGCCAAATGAGCGAATCCTGGCGCTTTGATCTTGCAGCGGTAGGGACGACTGGAACCATCTGATATCAAATAAACTCCAAACTCGCCCTTTGGCGCCTCGATTGCCGTATAAGTAGCACCGGGTGGCACTGGATAGCCTTGCGAAAAGAGTTTGAAATGGTGTATGAGCGCTTCCATGGAGGTTTTCATTTCGGAGCGGGTCGGTGTCGTCACCTTTGCGTCGTCTGTTTTGATTTCACCAGCTGGCATTTGGTTTAAGCACTGATCTATGATGCGCAAAGACTGACGCATTTCCTCGATGCGGCACAGGTACCGGTCATAACAGTCGCCTTTGGTACCAATCGGCACATCGAAGTCGACCAGATGGTATGCGTCGTAGGGCTGTTGCTTTCGCAAGTCCCATTTGATTCCAGAGCCTCGCAACATGACACCACTGAAGCCGTAGTTAAGGGCTTCCTCGGCAGACACAATGCCAATATCTTCTGTGCGTTGCACCCAGATTCGGTTCGTGCTGAGCACATCCTCAACTTCATCCAATCGCTCGGCGAATTTTGATGCAAACTCGTAAATGTCATTCATCAGACCCAGTGGCATATCCTGCAAAAAAGTTATGTTAACTTTGTTTTCTTCATATTTATCTATATAAAAAGCGTACCAGTGAGACACCGCCGGGTCTAATGTAGGCGGCGTGCATACGCGCTCCTGAAACACGTTCGTAGAATTCCATCATTTTCTCACGTTCCTCGAAGAGCCAGAAGAAGGGAGTCAGTGCACCCACATCTAGAGCATGCGTGCCCACAGCCATTATGTGGTTGAGGATGCGCGTTATTTCAGCGAAGAGAGCTGGAAACAAATCATACGATTTTGCCTTTGGTTGGAACTATGAGTGGGCCAAATTTAGCACCTACTTCGTATATACTTGGCACGCAGCGGCACCTCGATGTTGAGTAATTTCTCCACGGCCAGCGAGTAGCACTGTTCGTTGCACATCATCGAAACATAATCCAAACGATCGAAGTACGGCAGAGCCTGCGTGTAGGTCTTGTACTCAATTAGCTTCTCAGTGCCACGATGCAACAGGCCAATGTGTGGGTCGGCGCGCATTACCGTCTGAAAGCAAAAGCACGCTCAATCATTTAAATATAAATTAAGAAGTACATTTATGTACCTCGCCATCGAGTTCAAGTACTAGTCGAAGGACGCCATGGGCAGCCGGATGCTGGGGTCCAAAATTCAGCGTCAAGTTGCGCACAGACTTTTCAACGGGGACCATTTTGCCTTTTGCGGAAAATTAAGCATAAAATCATAAAACTCATTAAACTTTAATAATTATCTTTGTAAGCATACTGTTCCATGGCGGCACCTTCCACAGCGAGGTTACTTGATCGGGATACATGACCGGACCACTGAATTGCTTCATGAATTCGGGATCTGGATACCATTTTGCTGCACCGCGATGTTGATTCGAGCTATCGAATATATATTTATATGATTTGGAAATTATTTCTATTTGCACTTATTTTGCTACAATGGTTCCTGTAGAAATATGATTATGTAAGTATCCGCGTAGTTTGATTGTTTACCTCAAGATGCTGGCACCGGCCGGTGCAATAGACGATTGGGATTTAAGTAGCTGCGCCCCTGCGACCAGCGAGCGCCTAAAGCCCTGGGAAATCATTTTTTATTTCAAAATAGTTTATTGGACTTTTTACGCAAACAGTATGGTCAAACCAATGGATGGTCAAACAGCTGTTGATTTGTGTATGTGCAGCGCTGGTGCAACCGATAGCTATCGATATACTTGCAGTCACTACCTCTGTTCGATATGCAGAATCGATATTTTAACTATGTATTTCGATTCATCCCTATACACTCTTGTAGCCTCTGTCGACTGAACACATTTCTCACACATTTCAGAATAAGTCACATTTTTGACAAATATGTGAAATGCGCCCTATGCGTTTCCCCATATGAAAACACATTTCACACATCTTTCAAAAAAGACACATTTTTCAGATATGTGTAAATTCGCCCGAACATTTCGTGTTTATTGCGATGGTTAATCGAGATTTCTATCGATATTGTGAAAAAGTATCAAAAACATACACAGCTGATATCAAACAAGGCTAGCGGCAACTTTAAAAAAGGTATTAAAAATTAGAATAATTACACAGTTTTTAGAATTACACATGGCGAAATTTCGAAAAGAGGAGGATATAAATAAAAGAAACTCGATCAGCTGTTTTTAAAAGAAGCGGTACTTTTGCCACTCACATGTTACCAATACCGATGGAATACCAATATGTGAAATTTTAAAATGTGACATTTCTTAAACCAGTGGACAGAGGCTATTAAGTATTAGCACTAACCAGACAACACATGTTTTTTGGATAGTGGTATTAGATTTGTGCCATGTATGTATCGATAAATATATAGGCGACGAATATATCGACGTTATATCGATATTTGAATACAAAAGAAAAACCTCGAATCTAGGAGCTTGGAATTAAACTTATTTTCCGAGCGATTGATTAAGAAAAGAGAGCTGCGAAAATAAAATAAATTAATTGAAGCATCACGATAATTTGAAGGGGGCCGAAAGGTCTTAATATACAAATATTCAAATTGCGTAAGATTTACTGCAGAAAATCATACCGAAATCGGTTAAGTAACGCTATTGATAAGGTCGTAATATAAATATAAAAACACTAAAAAAATACTGACATTTAACTGATTAGATAGTTTAGTTAGTATAAATACAGTTTATCAGGTTTTTGCAAAAATGAATGAAAATTTATTGTTTAAGAGTTTATTAACAAGGGGAGTTATGAGAAATGCAGTAAATTTACTGGTTTCATTTCTGAGCGATACAAAAAAGTCACACCTATTATTCGTGACTTGCAAATACTTTTGTAACTGTAAAGTACTTTTAAAAAAATACGTTTTAGATACAGATACATTTTTCAGATACTGCCACACTGTCAGTACCGTATTATTTTTTTTTACATCTAACACAGCTCTTTAAATGCTGCATAATATTATTTACATACGAATTTATTTAAATTAATTTTAAAATGTTGTGAATACGGATACGGCAACTCAACTCACACCAATGGAAGATAATGGGAAAAATGTGATTAATTGAAAAGTAAAATAAAATGCAAAAATGTATACATAAAAACTGGCATTGTGTCTGTGTGCGTGTGCGTGTGCGTGTGCGTGTATAGTGGTTATATTATGCATTTATAATGAACAGCAAATGTCAAATTGGTTAATTTCTAGTTATTCGGGAATACTAATACGGGCCCTGTATCCTTCGCCAAGTATCAAGTCTTTGAGTTTATAAATTTTCTCACGTTTTTATTCATAAAAAGTGCTCAATTATTGTATCGGGTTTGTGTATGTATACAGAAAAGTGTCGAATTCAATGTTTATGTATTTGAGTCTCTTGCGAGAGAGCGAATGAGAGAGCGACAGAGAGAGAAATAGAGTGGGATAGAGGGAGAAAACTTTTGATTTTAGTGCAACAATATTATTTGCCTTGCCAAAACAAGCCATATAAAGGACTCGAATTTAAGAAAGGTTTTTAAAACAGTTTTTTGCCCTCCGAATTTATATATTATACATACATACGTATGTAAATGCAAATGTATGTATGTATATGTAGGTTTCAAAAGACTGCTGTTCATATAAAGGGAAAAATTAATTTTTTCTTTATGTATTATACTAGAAATAGAGGATCTGCAAATGTCGGGCAGATGCCGTACGATTTCGTAGCGTATTATAACATGGGCAAATATACATTGATATGTATATAATTTAGCCTGTATACATCTCGAAATCGGCGACATTTACTATACGATGAGTGAAATACAAAGAGCATATGATGTACAGACATATATACATACATACACAGAGATGTGTGTATGTGCAAAAATGTACACAGACTTAATTTACATCACTCTTAAACCCCGACGTACGCATACTCTTATTTTCTTGATACAATTTAATAAACTAAATTATTTTATCAAGTAGACATGTAAGTTAATTTATAAATTACCTTTCAAGGCTTTTTCTTGCATTCAAATTGAATAGGATCCATGGATAACAAAGTCGCAAGAGTCACGAACAAGAAATTATATGGTATAAATATACATGTAAAAATTATTTGTCAAGTTTCTTCCGTCCTTTGTAAAACCGAATGTAACTGAAAGGTGAAGTTATCTCTTATCATCTCTTATCATTCTTATCATTCTCATAATCTCTTATTATTCTCATTATCTCTCATCATTCTGATTATTATTTTTTTTCGATGACGTCTGTTCTTTTAAGAGGGGCAGCCTTTTATTGTTGACAAACGGACTCTTTAAATATTAAATAAAGATACTTTTTAAATAATTAATTGAGTTATATATAGTCCATCAGGATAAACAGTGTTATATATGATTGATATGATATATGATTGATTGATTGACTAGTTAAAATTGTGTGAGATTTGATTGAGAGTAAGAAAACTTAAAAATGCGCCTGAGTCTGTGTTTTAATTTACTTACAGAAACGGGAGACATCGGCATGTTGCCGGCGGATGCAAGTTTAATTTTGTCAAGAGCAAGCAAGAACAAGAACAACAACTGGGTCAACAGGCAACGCGAGGAAACAAGTCACATCTACGGCAGGCGCAAACAACAGTTACCAAAGTTGTGCTTAAGCAGAAAACTTGAAATCGTCCAGAATCGTGGATGTTGGAGCTAAGGCAATAGAGAAAGGTCAAAAAACAAATATCAACGCGCGAACCAAGTGAAATACAGAAAGACTTTATAAATGATGCTCGTCCCGTCAAAGACCAAGTCAAATGGAAGACTAGCTCTTACTGTCACTTGGAAGTCATTGCCAGCAGGAACGGGAACAGGAAGCCCCCGCAAAGAATCGGGCTGCCAAAAAAAAGAGCTGATGTCCAAGCGTTCCAGTCTCAAGGAGCCCATGTCACTGGATGGCGCACCCGTCGCTCCATCGCCCAGTTTGGCGTTCTGCTGCATTAAGTGCCAGCGATCAGCTGTTGCTGTTGACAAGTTTGTGGATAATGTTGAGCATGAGAATGATAAATGGGCCATGGGTAATAGCAGAAAAGTTGTCACTCGGATGATGACCACTGACAACCATATACCAAAAGCTCGACCCCAAAATCGAAATCAACCAACGACCGCATTCTTAAAGCCAGCGATGCATCGAAAGTCCAAAAGTAAAAGCAGGAGCAATACGGCAACGTTTGGCATTGGAGTCATGTCTCATGTCAACCCAACAACAACAACAACAATAACTTGTGTTGGCCCACATGTTGATAGAACGCAGCTTAATCCCCACTCGCATCCCCGGTCCCAGGCCCGGCCGGGGTCATCGCTTAAAAAATCCAGATTGATCGCAGCTGAACAAAAGAATACGGAATGCAGTACGAGAATAAACATAAGCAATAAAAATAAAGCTCATTCAGCGCGATGTAAATTGGTAGTTCCGTTGCCATCTTTGCGGGCCACATCCTTCGTCACGCTTCTCACGATCATCTGCATAGAGACGGTGCTTCTATCAACTATGTCAAGCTGTGCTAAGACATTCTACATGCATTGGAACACATCGAACAGCATGTGAGTACCTTCCCATTGAGTACCTTCAGATTGTGATCTTACACCTACATACACCTTATTGGGACACGTAGCAACTCCGACCCCACATAATAGGTATAGTGATCATACATATATCAGCTTACCACTTAGGAATGCCAGAAACATATAAGAATACATAAATAAGAAGAATAAACATTGAAACCCATTTAACGATTCTGGCTGCATAGCAGCATTCTAATAATTGAATTCAAAGTGAATATATCTGTTATAAGTATTCTTCTTCTTCTTTCAGTTTTAAATCTCGGAAAATCAAAAAGCTACATAGTCTTGTATTTTTAACTGTCTTGTTTTCCTAGATATTCTAGAGGGAATTCAACATTTGTAGGTTTCACTACGTTCCTTAAATATGAGCAGAATTCCGTTAATATCAGTATTCTATAATATATTAGAAAGACTCACTCGAAAGATAAATATTTTGAATGAGACATTTGTGTTTCTTGTAGATAACCAACAAATTCATCACCAAATTGTGTCTGTTCCTGAAGATTGAGGCGACCATTTCTACATGTTTTGGGAGTATTTAATTATACTCTATTTATATATTTATAAACAAATTATTGCCTTTTTACCTCATAAACTGTTATTAATGCTTATTTATGTGTATTTATCAATATGAATTAATCTGAATTGCGCGTAAATTTTAAATCTCATGCAGAGCGTCCTGCAAGATAACTAAGTAGCATGACACGTCTGCAAGAGCGTCCGTCCGGCAAAGAGTCGCGCCACACTTTAAGAACATATTTTTCTTGTCGCAAAATTACCACCTTTGTTAATTTAGCAATCTATATATGTATATGTATATATAGGAAGATGTCTTCTTTAGATTGTCCATTTCGATTTCTACATGGTTTTTCTATATTTAAATGCGTGTTACGTATCCCCTAAGTGGAATAGCGTTCATATAAGTCTCGTCAGAGCGTGAGCATAGTTGAAGTAGTTTTACGAAGATTCGTACAAACATACAGAACACGCATAGTAACGCACTTCAGTCACAGAACAAATAAGAAAGGCAGAGGGAGGCACATAAATGTCCTCAAACCAGTTGCACTGACGGCCACCTGAAACCTTCGTCCTATTGGGATACGCCGCCAGAGAAGTGCACAGAATAATCGCTCACAAACTTTTTGAACAAGCGGCGAGGTGAGTGCATGGAATTTGTAGCTAAGCTGTGTTCGTATGATAGTATGCGAGAGTTGTTCACTCGATACAATACAAAGTGTTGTAATGTAGCCGGACACATATTTTTGATTTGATCAGGGCTGAAAATACCCTAAATAGCAAATATTACCATCGCAACCAACGCAATTTTATGCGATAAACTAAGTATGAACGCAAAGATCTGAGAACCTATACGAGATAGAAAGTAGGTCCTCCTAGTGACCACGCAGTAGGAGTTTGTTTCCGATAATGGATAACTTGTCCCGTTTCCACACAATCGTTAAGATATATTATATTGATATATATATTGATATATTATTTCTTGAGCTATTATTGTAGCTTTTAGAATAGGATATATATTGAGCATCTTTCATTTTACAGCTATTGTAAGTCTCATTCTAATCAAATAAATAAATCATTTGTAAATAGCCCCTAATTGAGCTCACAATTCTAATGCAATTAGATTATACGAATATCGTATAGCGCAATAAGATCTGTTGTGGTAAATTTGATATACACAATAGAAAACGTGTTTTATCTGGCCACGTGGCAGCTAGCTTAATTGCAAGAATTTCTGACACACACACACACACATTCATTCGTGTCTTTATTTAATTCTATCAACAGAATTGCAATTGCGATTGTTGTTTTCCGTTTTAATCCGATTTTTTCCCGGTACAAGTCAATTGTTGTCGTGGCTGTTGTTGCGCTGGGACCTAGTGCGGGCTGCTTCGAGCTCGAGTCCTATTGAGAGAACCATTTTTTTAATTACTGCTTTTTATACGCTGAACCCATTAAAAATGGGTATAAGGGGATATTGTATTTGTGCAAAATCCAAATGTATGTAACAGGCTGAAGGAAGCATCTCCGACCCCATAAAGTATATATATTCTTGATCAGCATCAAGCCATGTCCGTCTGTCTGTCCCCCCGTCTGTCTGTCCGTCCGTCCGTCCATATGTATGAACGCAAGGATCTCGGAACCTATAAGAGCTAGAGACTTAAAAGATGTAGGTGGTCCTAGTGCCTGCGCAGATCGAGTTTCCGATAATCGATAACTTACTCCGTTTCCAAGCAATCGATAAAACTCGATATCGGTATCCTGCTTTTTGGGCAACTTTGGTAAATAATAAGAGCTAGATTCACCAAACTTGACATATAGCTTCTAAAATAGAATATATATGCATTTGATGTTGGAATAAGAGGGTTCAGGGTATCCCCTAGTCAGGAGCTCCCGACCCTCTTACTTGTTTATTATGAGCTCCATTTGATGTTTGTAGAAGAAGGTTCAGGTTATCCCCAAGACGGGTTTATTTATGTTATATAATACTAGGTATTTCCTGGCCTTGTCAGTGGCAAGCTTTTCGTTCAACATTTTGGATATAAATTTACTCCACATCTAGTTGAAGTTGTGTTAAAGGTCTATTGATGAAAGAGCCCCAAGTTTGGAATTTTCAATATCGCTGACTACGTATTCATCAAGTTCTTTTGTATGGCTTTCAAAATGAGTTTTATGGTAAAGAACAAGTTTAATAGAAACATTTTTCGCGATTTTTTTTACACTTTCGGGTGGAAATTTTAATAGAAGATTTAAGGGTATCCCCTACTATTTTATATGTTGATAGTCGGAATTGGGAAGGGCAGTATAAATTGAAAAAACTTCGGGATAGTAAATATCTGTTGAAGGATGTTTAACTTTAATTTCGACTATATGGTAATTTTGTTAAAACTTATTAAGCAACCCTCCAATATGTATGTGTATGTTTACTTCGACTGTGTGTCCCTGTAACCCTAGTCGCACACTCGCATTTATGGGATTGAGTGTGTGTCGCCAAAGCGAACATGTAAAATATGCGTACTTCATCATTAGGGGGTGATTTTTGATTTACAAAGCTCTATAATAAAATGGAAAGGAAAAAACAAAGAACAACTTGGAAGGGCAGAAAAAAAACCAACGAAACGTCGACGGGGCGAGGCGAGGCAGACATACATAAGTGCGTGCGTCGTGTTAACCAGTACTTGGATAGGTTGGAAAGTGAGAGGGGGAGGGGGGCCTTGGGGTACAGAGGGTACCCTCCTGTGGTTTCAACTGCAGCCGAGCATGGGTTTTAAGAATCAGCCTTACGCCAATTCCCCCTCCCCCGCACCGCACGTTCTGCATTCTACATTCTGCCAACGCACCACCAGCTTTTAGTCGCAAATTTCACAAATAAATAACGCATTTTTTCCTCTCTCTCTTTCTCTGTCTCTCTGTCCTTTTCTCCGCTTGCATGTGAGCACATGCGTAATGGGTGAATGGTGTGGGTGAGGGAGGGGGGACGGGTGCTACGGAGGATAACTTGTTGGCGTTCTGCTTAGTGCTGTTATTTATTCCTGTGGAAGGCTTCACTTTGACAAACCAAGATTGTTCGGCTTGGATATACCCTGCACTGTTGTGCGTTCCTTTACAATAGTTTTGGGTTATGCATTTAAAGTAATATACCCCATTAAATGAAACATTTTGTGAGTCTTTTATATACATATTTACCGCAAGCAACTCAAACATAAAAGATAAGAAGATGAAATACCCTAGATAACCGAAATATTAAGATCTGCCATAATGTATTTTACATGTGTAAAAAAAGTCATCTTTGATCTTAAATCATAACCAGGTGGATCTCAGAGAGTAATAGGGGCTGGAGAATTTGAAATTGTTACAACCTTTAGATTTCTGAAGACAACCCTTTCTGCTTGGCTTAAGTAATACCGTTAATATTCTATTAACAGTTAATTCAAAAAGGCCCTTTGAGGAATTTAGATTTGTTTGATACTCAAACTAATTTTCCAAGATTTTCGAGAAAATATCCATTTTGATGGCTTTCACCCTTTTCACAAAGCGAGTCCTCTTGTGGGGAAAAGGGCCGGAATATTATTATTTTATTATCCCCATTGTTATTGAAAAGAATGATTTATTGGTAATTTACAAGTGCCCTAATAAATTAAAATTATCTGAAAACTTGGGCCCTTTTCTTCGAAGGTAAATAAATAATAATGTCTATTCAAATTTTGATTTGTAGATTTCGGATTGATAACACCGATCATATTATTGACGTGAATAAGGGCAATCTGGCATTCGAATTCGACCAGGTGCACATTATATGTCCAGTTTATGAGCCCGGCGCATTCGAGAACGAAACGGAGAAGTACATAATATACAACGTGTCTAAAGTGGAGTACGAAACATGTCGCATAACGAACGCAGATCCGCGAGTAATAGCTATATGTGATAAGCCTCAGAAATTAATGTTTTTTACGATAACTTTCCGGCCATTTACACCGCAGCCAGGTGGTTTAGAGTTCCTACCTGGAAATGACTACTATTTCATTTGTGAGTACTGCGATTATATTATTATAAATATATATTGTATGCTTTCTTTTTTTCTACAATTAGCGACGTCATCGAAGGACGATTTGTACCGTCGCATTGGCGGTCGTTGTTCCACAAATAATATGAAAGTTGTGTTTAAAGTGTGCTGTGCAGCCGAAGATAAGAACAAGACAACGGAAACAACGCTTCTGGGCAGTGTCCCAGCCGAAAGTGGCAATGGCGTCGACAATGCGGGGCTAAATGTAGATCAAAATCTAAATGCGAATGCTAACCATGGACATGGTCATAATGGTGTCAATACCATTAGCACTAATACTGGATTCATACCGGGTGGATCAGCAGTTGGCAGCGGAAGCGGCGGCAGCGGAGGCGGTGTTCAACTAAAGCCCATAAGCGGAATGATGGGCACGTCGATCAACACGAACATTGATCAATTCAATCGCATACCCATTCAACCAAACGTAATGGGCAACAATATTGGAGCAGCTGGAGGTGGTGCTAGCGGTAGCTCTGGTACTGGCGGCATAATGCTGTCACCTGGCCATGGGAGCATAAATATGCTGCCACCGGGTCGGGGCGGCGTTCATATGAACTATCCCGGCCATCATCACATACAGACTGGCATTCGAATTAATAATGTGCCAACGCAACCAAATAATCAGCATCCGCACCACAAGGGCAATATGAATGTGAATAGCAATGGTAAGGACACATTAAAAAAACAGATTGCAGATGCAGATCAGTACGATAAACAAAAAGTTGACAGCCGTTTGATGGCGGGCAGCGGCATTGGCACTGCTATTCCCGTCAATATTGGCAGAGATATTCACTATTTGCCGCCAGTTCTGGTTGACACAAACCACAGTAACATTGTACAGAGCACCATTAATTGGCCATTAAATACTTGGGGCATGGACACAAATAACACATCATCCAGCAGATTCTTAATAACTACATCCACCATAAATACTACTACTAACAATAGCAAGCAATTGTTCCATCCGAAACACATCAATGTCAAAATTAACACCAACTCAGACAGTCATAACAATACAAGTATTAGCAATTACACACAATCTTTCCACAGTCCGCCAGACCTCGGTACTAACAATAATAACAGAAAAAGTAAGTAGAACTTATAGAAATGCATTTGCCATTACCTAAAACTGTGCCTGCGTCCATGATACCCATACCATAATTCCGTTCCATACCCACCTTAATAATAATTTCTAAGATGAAGTTTAGTTCGGCATGCTAATTTTCAATTTTCACAATAGTGCGTGGTTACAGCAAAGCTTGAAAAGGTCGTCTTGATTATTGATTGACTTCACAATTTTAGGGCGCAGATAAAATATTTTTGTGAAATTATGCTTTTTGTTTGAGAAATCCGAGGAATTTTTGGGTAGCTTGTAATTGCTGAGTTTGGTGTAATTCTTTCTGCAAATCTTATGGTATAGTTGACTGATGTTGATACGTTTGTAGGCTTTGGTTAAGATATTTTAAAAAACCAAATCTTTTATATAAGAACATGATTTTCCACCGACCATTCCTATGACAGCTATATATACTGTCTGCAATAGAAGGACGGACCTAGGCAATGTTTTATGACAGAACCTTCAGACTGAGAGACCAGTTTGCGCAGAAACACACAGACGATAGTGCCTATCGGTAAAGTTTTTGATAATAATCAGAAGTATATCTACTTTATAAGGTCGGAAATTTATCCTTCTATGTGTTACGCATTTCATGACAATGGTCCAATGGAATGTAGGATACGTGTCTTATTAATGTGTACAGGAGTATCTAATATTTTCGTTTGCTTTGAAGGCACTAATGATAATTATATACGCTTTTCAAAAAGGTAATGATAATGAAAATCGCATTTCATCACTTAAAATGTTTAATAATTATTAAAATTATAAAACCAAAAACCATTATTAATGAAAAGATATGATAATGGAAATCACATTTCATTATAAATAAAAAATTATAGCAAATAATTTTACGAATATATTTCCAAAATTGAAAGTAATGAACAAATATTTTTAGCATTAGCATTTTCAATGAAAACTTTATTAATTGATTTTAATCATTTAAATATGCTTCATTTAACTTGTATTTCAATTATATATTTTATAAATATATGTAAGTAACTATTTATAAATCAATTATCAGAGTTAATGAAATTAAGTTTTCATTACTTACTATTCATTATCACTATTCATTCAATTCATTTTCATTAGCATTACCTTTTTTTAGTGGTCATGAAAAAAAAATAAAACAGATATTATTATAATTAGAACAGACGAAAAAACTCCTTTTGCAAGCAATCAATATAAATCGATATCGATATCCTGTTTATTGGGAAGTTTTGGTAAATAATAAGAGATTGAGTCATCAAACTTGACATATATCTTCTAAAATAGAATATTCATATGCATTTGATGTTGGAAGAAGAGGGTTCAGGGTATCCCCTAGTCGGGAGCTCACGACTAGAACATCTTACTTGTTTACTTTGTAAACAGAGTATGAAAGTGCAAATATTTTCAGCGAAACTCAAAAATTTACAGCTTTATTATTTTGCCAACCTACCACCACATTATACTATGTAAACGACCAATTACATTAAATGTTGATCATGATAAAGGTGATAAATCCCAAAATATTTGGGTTGATTATAAACTGAACCATTTTGGGTTACAGTCCAGTTCTTTTCACAATCCGTCAAAAGAGCACACGATATAAGGATTTTACTTGGCATTATTGTCAATATTAAACGGCTAACTTTGAACCCAAATGAAAATTCAACATCCATTTTGTAATTACAGATGATCACCACAATTATGACAAGCATCCCAATGAGGTAGTCAAAAACGAAGAGCTCACCTACAACAGTGGATCAGGGCAAGCAACTCGCAGCCATATCTGGATTTGGACCTGGCTGGCAGGCGGAGCAGCCACCCAGGGTCTAACTTCTATGCATGCCTATGGTATTAATTTAACACTCTTGCTGGCCATCATAGTAATCACATTTCAATACCTGTTTTGGGCACCTGCCGCATATACGATGCGTCGCCGCCCCGAACCTCTTGGCATTAATTACCGGTGAATCGTTATCAACGGCTCTCTCTCTCTCGCTGCAGCTGCTAGTTAATTTAAGAAGACATAACATCTCACACACAACGTCCTTTGGTAGTACTATGTAAACATATTTGCATAATTTTGTATTTTCAATAGGATCGATTCGAATGGAGCCAAATTAAAGCAAGCGAGGAAGTGAGTAGTTGAAAAGAAGGAGAAAGGTGAAATAGAATAAATAAGTAAACAAATGAAATTTTCAAGCCCATTAAAACATAGTTTATAGCGATATAGATTAACTTTACGCATAAGTCAAGAAAAAATGGCAATACGCCGATTTAAGACGATTACAGTTTGAAGAGAGTATAAGTTTTAATTGCCATTGGCCTTAGAGCCATAGGGCTCTGGTCTCGTTGCAGTTCGTATTCCCAAAGTTTCCCAAAACCGAATCAATATAATCACTTAGCGCCTTGTTTATTCTACCTTATTGGAATGAGTCAAAAATATGCAACTAAATTCAGTAGGAAGCAATGCACATGCGAGCACCTCACAAACTATTTTTGCATATGTCGATAAAATGTTATGAAGTTTGCAATTTATTTGAGGTATTAAAGACAACTTTGGCATATTTATTTTGCTGTAAATATAATTATTTATGTTGCTCCTTCAACAACTTCATCTTCAGTTAAAAGTTATTGTTTAACGTGGACCTAAAGAAGTTTTTGAATTGAAAGTCATTCAGATCATAAACACACGTTTATCCACGCACTACTCCATCAATTAGCATCTAATCTTTGTGTGTAATAGATCCTCGAATGTCGTAATCAAACAAATTTGACACTTCTAACTCAAAAGCAAACTCACATTATATACACATACTTCTCGTGCAGCAACTGCCTTGTACGGTGAAAGTTTTGACTGAAAATTAACAAAAAAAATTTAAAAAAATAAATAAAAAATTAGCGTTTATATAAAACACGTGTAGGAAAATAGATACTAGGTCAGACTAAGCGAATGCCAGAGACGATAATGTAAACGTACACGAAAGTAAATGTTAAATCGAACCTATGTATGTATGAATGTTTCGTATGCATTTACATTTACATTTACATTAACATTTACATTTACATTTACATTTACACTTACACTTGCAATTACAATTATATTCGTATTAAGTATTTCGAATATGGGAAAGGTGAAATTCAAAGAACTCAACTGTAAGTTTTACGTTCTTATGCTTTTTGTTCTTGTTTTTTTAGTTTTTAATTTTATAATTTTGTAAATGAACCAAGCAGTATATGCATATATATATATATATACATATATATATATATATATAAATATAAGTTATATAAGTATACTAGAAGATACATTCGTATATACATTGAAATGTATGTGAAAGGACACAGCAAAGTTTAGGTGAAACGTTATAATAATTGTATATTTAATAAACGAAGAGATTTTGTAATTTGTCATGTATTGTAGCAGTATTTGCTCCATTCATACATAAAGAAAACTGAAAACAAATGAAATGAAAATGATAAACAAACAAATATTTACATACCATATAAGCAAGTATTCATATACAGAAGACATTCAAGACATAAACTTGCACACACTCGAGAATAATGAAGGTACAGATTTTTTCGGTGTATAATTAAAGTCTAGTTCTGATCATGTGCATTATGTATAAACTGACTTTAAAAATATTCTGAAAAAATTATTGTTTTTGTTTTCTGTAAGGTACTTAACTAACAAACAATGAAGTAAACATACATATAGAAACAAGCATACCCATACACCCACACACACACACACACGCACACACACACACACGCACGCACGCACACACACACACACACACACACACACACACACACACATACACACACACTCAAAATGCAGTACTTAATTGTAAAACACACTCTAAGCTCTAAGTTAGTGGAGCGTAGCACTCTTTTCCCACTTGTAACTCAAGGTACTCGATCCCCACAATAGCAAACGCTTATTTAAGGAAAACCAGACAGCTTACGACTAAACCGAATTTATATCATCCGACGACCTCGCCCAAATCGTAGCGAAATCGGGCAGCACGCAGAAACCGAGAACCGAATCCCGTTTTAAAATGATTTCAATAAAATGCTTTGCAAAGCTAACTCCACATAGTCAACAATACACACACAAATGTAGATACAATAGGATCTTACCACATACCGATTGAGATGATTAGGATTACGCACACAATACACCCCATACAATACAATTCAATACAATACATACATACAAACAATCATATACATACGTACATACATACTGAACCTTACAAATAGTTTTTTTTAATAACTAACTATCCATTTAGTTTTATCAAATTTATCTCATATTTTCTGTCTTCTTTTGGGGTTAAATAGGGCTTAAAACGTTAACAACTTACCCCATCCGGCTTGATTTTGACCGCATATTCCCTTTTTTGACTGACGATTAGCCATTATATTTTTACACATTGTTCACAAGTCTGTTTCCTGAAAATGGCACAATTTTTATCGGTACAATTATATTGGAATGCAAATTTTTGGAATGATTTACATTTTTCTTGTCCATCCGATTTTGTACATTTTTTCAGATAAATTTGGTTATTTTTATTTTAATGCTCGTCGATCGTAAATAAATAACATTTTTAATTGATTTGGCTTTTTGCTTTTGCTTTAAATTGTCAATTTGTGCTTCAGTTTTATTTAAACATTAGACTGATTCGTACAATGATTTAATTATACTTCATTCCAAGCCTCAATTTATGCTTTTATGCAATTTAAGAACACGATTTTGAATACAGAATACATAACAGACCGAATAAACAGCTGTTGCTCTCATATGAACCATATTATAACTGGCCCTTATAAGTATGCTATAAACATCCACGAACATACACACACTCAACACACATTCACACACTCACACATGCCACAAGCGCTCAACGATAACTGTGTAATTCAATTATAGTGGAATACACTTGTATGTGTATGCACTTATACATGGAGCTGGTTTTATTGTAGGCCGATAGCAAAGTTGGGGTAGTGAAGGACTAAATTGTAGTTTTTAACTGTAGCACAGAAAATTTATATCTACTTATACCATTTAAGGGGTAAGATAAGCAACTGCATTCAACACAAACGAACTACATATGTATGTATAAAGAGAATACGAACGAAGGCAAGAAAACAACAGAGTGGAGAAGTGAACAATGTATCAATGAAAATAAAAACAAACAAATTTAAATTAACATCCTGCGTGTCATTCATTCATTTTCTTATATCTATGTGTACGATCCCTAACCATAATGAGAGAGCACTGAGTAGCTGCCGTTCTACCAAACAAGAGAGTAAGCCAAGGCAGTTTTCTGTAGTGAGAGCAAGATAAATGACCGCAATTCCATTCCATCGCACAAATCATATGTACTTCTTACTTGCTCTCTGAATCAGTCCCAGAAAGGAGTGGAAGTGTATGTGACTTAAAGAAGAACCTTTTAATTAAATACAGTTTGTCAAGTAATTGTTTGCAAAAGGAAAAACAGCACACAAAATCATTTTTAAACTAATATTTGACCGAATTAAACTATTTCTTCTTAATTGTTTTTGCATATTATTATTATTCTAAGTATTCTTCATAGATATAAGGCACAAACGAAATAGACCCCAAGCTACCTAATGGTACTCCAAATTCAAAGAAATTTGAATGTGTGAGTCATTGATATGCAGTGTGCGAACCTTCTAAGCGATTTTGCGTTTTTGACAGTTTTCATCTTGCCTAATTTAGAGCTTTTTGCAATGCCTGGTCAACGAGTTAATAAAAATCTAATTCAACTAGTTTATTTCCACTACCATAAGGGGAAATCTGCTAAAGAATTGGCGGAAATGTTCGTAATAAGGCTAAGAACTATTTATAATATTATTAACCGCGCCGAAAAAGAAAACAGATTGGAATTAAAGCACTCCGGATGCAGACCAGCGAAGTTCACTAGACGCGATCATGGACAAATTTTAAAACAGATCAACGATCAACCTCAAACTAGCCTCCGACAATTGGCATTGGACTTAAAAATGACTGCAATAAGACAGTGAGCCACGAGACAGTTCGTAAAGTCTTAAAAGTGCATAAATACTCCTCGCAAATAGTTAGGAAGAAGCCACTACTGTCGGCAGTAAATATTCAGAAGCGGCTTAATTTTTCAATTGCCGATGTCAACAAGCCAACGGAGTACTGGGATGACGTTATTTTTTGTGACGAGACAAAAATAATGTTATATTATCATGACGGACCCAGCAAAGTTTGGAGAAAGCCCAATGCAGCTCTGGAATCGAAGAATATAATACCAACAGTAGAGTTTGGCAAGCTTTCGGTTATGGTGCGGGGCTGCACATCGTCAAAAGGTGTTAGTGAGCTGCGCATTTTCAATGATGTGATGACTAAAGAGTTTTACTTGGGCATTCTAAAAAATGAATTGTCAAGGAGCGCAATAAAGTTTGGCTTCAAAGCCCCTTAAAACCCCAATAAACAGAGGTACAAGCTTTATCAGGACAACGACCCCAAACACAAATCGTTTTTGTGCAGGACTTGGCTACTGTATAATTGCAGCAAAGTCATTGACACCCCTGCCCAGACTCCTGACTTAAACCCAATTGAAAATTTGTGGGCTTTTCTAAAGAAGCGCGTAGGGAAACGGAGCCCAACTAATATCGAGAAAGAAGGGCTATCTTCGGCACGCCAAAGATCTAATACCCTTGCAGACCCAACCTTTTCATAATGCTCATAGTGCCTTGCCCCTATCTAAGAAGTACCGGGAAAATAGTATGTGCCGAGTTTGGTCAAGATATCTTGATAATCAAAATGTTTTTTCATACGACTTAATTTTCGACCGATCGTTCCTATTGCAGCTATATGATAGAGTGGTCCGATCTTAATAGGATTTTGCATATATATGAGGAGTAAAGTAAAACTAATAAATGCCTAGTTTGGTCAAGATATCTTGAAAAACAAAATGTTTTTTCATCCAAAAACTTAATTTTCGACCGATCATTCCTATGGCAGCTATATGATATAGTGGTCCGATCCAGCTGGTTTTCACATATGTGCTGCGTGCAACAGAAAGAGGGAGTTCTGCAAAGTTTCATTAAGATAGCTTTAACACTGAGGGACTAGTTCGCATAGAAACAGACAGACGGACATGGCTATATCGACTCGGCTATTGATGCTGATTAAGAATATATATACTTTTTGGGGTCGGAGATGTCTCCTTCTATGCTTTACACATTTCACGACAAAATTATAATACCCTCTGCAAGGGTATAAAAACGTTCTCATCAAGGCCATTCAAGAAGAATGGATAAAAAAACCCGAAATCTATGACCTGAATAACCTTATTCACTCAATGTCACGTCGTCTGCGGGCTGTAGTGGATGCTAATGGGCAATATACCAAATATTAGTACCACCATTGCTATAGTTTCCTAGATGTAGTTATGTATATAGTAATATTTTGCATTTTGCAAAGAATTAATTGACAGCGCAAAAATTGCCTCATTTTAGTTTTGTCTGTTTTTTTTACATTTGCGTTTTGAATTTTGTTATGTTTGTGCCTTATATCTATGAAGAATACCTAGAATAATAATAATATGCAAAAACAATTAAGAAATAGTTTTATTCGGTCAAATATTAGTTTAAAAATGAATTTGTGTGCTGTTTTTCCCTTTGCAAACAATTACTTGACAAACTGTATAAATTATGCTTGATTACAGCAGACAGCTAAAATTTACCATTTTTGTCTTACTGTCTGCATTAATGGTATTAAGGATGGGTAGATCCAATCACTAACCAAACAACATATAGACTAGACGTGAGTACCGCAAAATTGGCACAAAAAGTATCGGAGGCATCTGGTCCAAGCTCGCGAGTAAGGGAGTAAGACATAGATGTGATGTATTTTTGAATCGCTTACTCTACAGGAAAGTGCTTGGCGCACTCTCTTCCATACGATTTGTGCGATAGAACGGCAACGCTGTTAACTTTTATCTTTTATCCCTTACTCGCGAGTTTGGACCAGATGCCTCCGATACATTTTGTGACTGCTTTCCGGTACTCATGTCCAGTCTATATGTTGTTTGGTTAGTGGTTAAATGGAATACCGATACATTCTTTGGCTTGTAACTCTTAAATGTAATATCGATAAGAGCAGGAGGAATGTGTCGATATTTTCATTTGGCGACCACTTTTTGAAAGATAGTATGAGATTGTGTTAAAGAATAAAACGCCGAAATCCACACTTTACAATAGCCATTATCTCTGCAATCAAAGAAGGTTCTTTCAATCTGTTATTTTTATTTGAAAATATCGTTTAAGCTCAACCGCCGAACCATCGGGCATAACTGAAGGAACTAGTTCAGGTTCCGAGTCCTTTGCTTTTACGAATGTTGGCAGCCCTAAAAGAAAGGAGGGCACACGTCAACTCTAATTTGGACACAGCATCCAGACTAATAGTAAGAGCAACCCCTGCTCGCGAATTATAGTTTTAAGTTGTTTAAAATGAAACAACAATTTGAACATAAATAGATAATTCATAAATTCTGCAACTGTTTTGCTACGATAGTTAAACCTTATTACAGTTCGGGTTAATATTGTAAGGGTAAGATAATTTTATCTTTGAGTAGAAGGGCGGGGTAAAAACAAGGACTCTCGCATTTATTGGATTGCCTTGAGAGTCGCAAGTAAAAGTGCATTCAGAAGTGAAGCTCTGTTCAAATAGTTCAAGGTCACGTGCATTCAATTCCAGCCAGACAAAAAGGTACGCTCAATGTTTTTTCACGGAGCATATAATAAATCTTCTTCCTTACATAAAACACCAATTGCAGTTGAAATCTAATTGGATGCACCCGAATAAATGGCAGATATCCAATTGGAAAACACTGAATAACTCTTAATAAAATACGTATTTATTCAAAAAACAGAAACTATTTTGCCACGATTTCGATTTGGAATTTCTCAAAAACCCAAAAGACCTTTTGATCCCCAATTTACACTTTTACAAGTGGAATGGTGTTTTCGCAAGGTGTGAAATGAATTTGAACAAAGATATTTGTGAAATATGAGTTTGAGGGGGATCAGATGCTAAAAGTTTTCCGCTGTTTTTCCAAACTTAAGTGTGTAATTTCTCAAAGCTACGCAGTTTTATATATAGAATTGACTTGCAAATATCTAGGTGTACTTCATTAATTATTAATTTAAAAAAATCTTTTTACTGTGACAACCAAAACAAAAAGAAGCCCTATAAGGAAGAGCCATGTCATGGGAGAGCATCGCGTCAAAGGATCTGCTTAGGTAAGTGGGAAACTGAATTTATTTAATGGAGAATTCAATTATTTATGACATATATATTTAGCATCCCGCAAAGTCATAATTTATCAGCAACACATTTACTTGCGTCTCCCGATGGATCGCGATACTTGCTGGATAATTGCAATGGTCTGTTTAATGCAGGTAGATCTAATGTGAGCCAACTATTAGTGAATCGGGATTATTTATATGTACAGATTTATGCCAATTTGAGGAGAATTACTCGAGAATTGCCGGACACGGCTCAAGCCCCGATGGGGATGTGGGACCCCGTTCGTTGTGGGTTCGCCCGGGTCTCGCTCGTTCCGGCCAGGTCAACACCATAATCAGTTGTTTTTGGTCGTGTCAAAGAAGTCTGCGTCAGTACATAGCGAAACGAAAGGTACATAAATATACGTATATACTATTTTTCAACTTTGACTGAGAAAGAACATTGTTTTTTTATACCCTGAACCCACTAAATATGGGTAAAAGGGTATATTGTATTTGTGCAAAATCTAAATGTATGTAACAGGCAGAAGGAAGCATCTCTGACCCCATAAAGTATATATATTTTTGATCAGCATCAATAGCCGAGTCGATCTAGCCATGTCCGTCTGTCTGTCCGTCCGTCCGTCCGTCCGTATGTATGAGCTCAAGGATCTCAGAACCTATAAGAGCTAGAGACTTGAATTTTTAGATGTAGATGCTCCTAGTTCCCGCGCAGATCGATAAAAATCGATATCGACATCCTGTTTTTTTAGCAAATTGGGTAAATAATAAGAGCTAGAGCCACCAAACATGATATGTTGCTTCTAGAATATTATAGATATTTCAAGTATCTTTCATTTCATACCTATCGCCACCTCAACGCTACCACCCCAGAGCTATAAATCAAGTTAATAACCCAACATTTACTGCCAACCAATTTATACCACAATTTAAATGCAATTGACTTTTTCAGAATACACAAATATTCTATGGTACAATAAGATATACTGTAGAAAATTTCATTAGGATCGGTTAAGAAAAACCAAAGTTATATGCAACTGCGCAATTGAATGGGGCAGCAGCTTTAAGAATTTCTGTATACATGTACACGCACACATTCATGCGCGTCTGCTTCGCATTCTAATAGCATGGTAATTGCATCTTTTTTTTGTAATGTTATTTAAGTTCCTTTTTTTTATCATAAGTACTCAATTGTTGGTGTGGCTGCTGAGTAGAGACATAGCAGGTGGTGCGGTCTGTCGCGAGTTCGAGCCCTACCGGGGAAAGTATTATTATTTTTGTTTTTTGCTGGTGTGGCTGTTGAGTAGAGTCGACAGCAAGTAGTGCGGTCAGTTGCAAATTCGAGCCATGCCAAGGGAACTTTTTTTTATTAATTTATTTGGTGTTGGAATAAGAGGGTCCAGGGTATCCCCTTGTCGGGAGCTCCCGACTAGAACCTCTTACTTGTTTTTTTTTTAATTTGTATACCCTTGCAGAGGTACCTAAAATTTTGTTGTGAAATTTGTAGAAGGAGACTTCTTCGACCCCATAAATTATATATGTTCTTGATCAGTATCAACAGCTGAGTCGATTAACCCGTGTCCGTCTGTCTGCTTATATGCAAACTAGTCTCTCCGTTTTAAATTATTAGGATTATTAGAAGGTTGGCTGTGCAAGGGTATTACATCTTCGGCATGCCGAAGATATGCCTTCATTCCTGTTTTTTGTTGTTAATATCAAAGAATTTGGGAAATAGAGATTTCTCAATTGATGCGAACACATTTAAGCTCAACAAGTTGTATAAAGATCAGGTGTAAAACCCGGATGAAGATTGTGACATTTAAATCAATCTTACAATAATTTGAAGCCCCTGTGTACCGTGTATCCTGGAAATCGTTCTCGATTCGAGATAAATTTCATTATTCGTTTGCAGATCGAACGTGGATTGAGATTGTACGAGCAGCATAATCAGACTGCGGCAGTTCGCACCTGGCGGAGTGCATTAAAGGGTACCTGTCGACGGGAAGACTGCTTTCAGCTGTTGGGCTACCTGTACCAGGCACACATGGACTGGGGCAAGTATCGAGACGCCATTGACTTTGGGCACCAGCAGTTAGGCATTTCCGAGGAGCTGGATTCGCCCAACATGCGCGCCGAGACGTACTTGAACCTGAGCCGGGCTCACGCCAGCCTCGGTTGTCTGGAGCGGGCCCTGGCCTATGCACGTCATTCGCTTTACAATGAGTCCGGCACGAAATGCCGCAGTGGCCTGGTACATTTGACGGTGGCACGGGTCTATCTGGAAATGGGCGGCTTTTCGCGAGCTCTGGAGGGGCTTCAGGGTGCCCACAAAATAGCCACTGCCATTGGCGATCCCTCGCTCGAGCTGCAAGTTTACGTGGCGCTCTCCGAACTCTTTAGCCGGCTGCAGGACAACGACAAAAGTGCAACATATGCATCCAAGGCATACGATCTCTCCCGATCCCTACAACTGGGTGACCTGAACTCCTGCCATCACAGGGCCGCCTTGCTGCGAATGGCAGCCTCATTGCGCAAACAGGGAGAGCTTGGAGATGCCCACGACTATTGCTTGGTGCGTGCGATAAAGTACTCTCTAGACTTTCATGTTTCACATCTTTTTTTATATATCTAGGAAGCAACTAGGCTCTCATTGATTTCTGGAGATCAGGCCACGTATACACGAAGTATCCGAGTTATGGGCGACATTTACCGCAAGAAGATGGATATTGACGTACGTATAGGGCAGGGCGTAAGTCTAAATGGAGTACATTTTGATGTCCCTTAAGGATATTAAGCATATTTAATACCCTTGTAGACACTTCCCTTTTTTCCCAGTTTGATGAAATAACCTAGGCTAACAGCCGTGTCCAGATATTTCGGAAGAAATCAGACAGTTTTTCCGATTTCTTAAATCTTAGACATCTTAAATCTTAGACATTAGACATCTAACATGTAGATAGACATGCAGACAAACAGACACACTGGCAGAGAGAATGACAAACCGAAAAATATGCAAACAGAGAGATAGACAGGCTGGCAGACAGCCAGAGATGCTGAGAGACTGGCAGGCAGACTTACAGAGCCGCAGACAAAATGATAGGCAGACAGACAGACAGATAGACGGATAGACAGACCGATAGACAGACGGACCGATGAACAGACGGACACGCCAAAAGACAGATAGACCGACAGATAGATAGACAGACAGACAGACAGACAGATAGACAGACGGACAGAGATGCTGAAAGACTGACAGGTACACTTACAAACAGACAGGCATTAATAGAGTAGAGACAAATCGACTTGCTGAATTTTACAACAGATTGAAATATTTCTTCAATATTCCTAGGGGTTTGCTTTTTGTCTGCATCAGTCCAAATATATACAATTTTCTACAAAGGTTTTAGTATATATACAAGTAAGAGGTTCTAGTCGGGAGCTCCCGACTAGGGAATACTTTAAACCCTCTTATTCCAACGTCAAATGCAGTCCGCGCAACGCGCTCGTTTAAGTAATAAAGATAAATAAAAAAAAAGTTCCCTTCGCAGGGCTCGAACTCTCAACTGACCGTATTACTTGCTGACGAATCTAATTAACAGAAAAAAAGAAAATAATTTCCTAGGTAGGGCTCGAATTCGCGACAGACCCCAACACTTGCTATGCCTCTTCTCAACAGCCACACCAATAATTAAGTATTATTGAGAAAAAAACGAACTAAAATAGCATTACAGAAAAAATTCGTTATTTCAATGCTGTTAGAATGCGATAGAATGCGAAGCAGACGCGCATGAATGTGTGTGTGTACATGTATACAGAAATTCTTGATGTTTTCGCTAGCTGTGCCATCGAATTACGCAGTTACATATAACTTTGGTTTTCTCTCAACCGATCCTAATGAAATTTTCTACAGTATATCTTATTCTACCATAGAATATATGTGTATTCTCAAAAAGTCAATTGCATTAAAATTGTGGCTTAGATTGGTTGACAAAATAAGTGAGGTCATTCACTTGATTTATAGCTCTGTGGGAGGTGGCGATAGGTATAAAATTAAAGTTACTTGATATATAAGTATATATAATATTTTAGAAGAAACATATAAAGTTTTGTGACTTTAGCTCTTAATATTTACTGCATTTTCTCAAAAAACAGGATGTCGATATCGATTTTATCAATTGCTTGGAGACGGAGTAAGTTATCGATTATCGGAAACCAACTCGATCTGCGTAGGTACTAGGAGGATCTATACCTAAAATTTCTAGCGCTTATAGCTTCTGAGATCCTTGCGTTCATACATACAGACGGATGGACAGACGGACGGACAGATAGACGGACATGGCTATTGATGCTGATCAAAAATATATGTACTTTATGGGGTCGGAGATGGTTCATTCTGCCTGTTACATACATTTGCATTTTGCACAAATACAATATACTCTTTTTACCCATTTTTCCTGGGTTCAGGGTATAATAAGATTTAATATAAGCTTAATTCTTTATGTTTCAAACTTAGAGAGCATTTCGGCAGTATGAGCAGGCGATGGGAACTTCGGCCACTTTGGGCGATCGCATGGCCCAGATGGAGGCGATGGATGGCGCAGCCCGATGTCTGGAAACCTTGCGACTGCAAAATAAGATCTGCAATTGCAGGCCTTTGGAGTTCAATACGCGGCTATTGGAGGTCGCCAGCTCGATTGGGGCGAAGGTGCGGCACCTATTCCAATCGACAAGAATAATTTCTAATTCTTTATATATATTTTAGTTGTTGGTTCGGAAAATTCGCAGTCGGTTGGCACTCATATATCGGGCCCTGGGCGACGAGGACCAGTGCAACACTCACCTCCGTTTGGCCGATCAGACTGACGCGGCCCTTGGCCTGATATGTGGTGCCTGTGGAGAAGTTTTTGGCATTCAGCCCGCCAGCCTGGAAGCCCTGCCGTGTGCGCATATATTGCATGCCAGGTCATTACTTTTAGTCGGGATTAGAAGATGCTCTGAACCCAGCAAGCAAAAAATGAAAATAGAACCTAATTTATTGACATGTTAAAAGTGACCTGAAGCCGTTAAGGGTTTCATTTGTTGACCAGATTGGGCGAGCTGAAGATCGACTTCGATTGGAGACGCCTTACCTTTCGCCAACAGCTCAGAGTGCAGACAGTTTGCCTGAATTGAGAACAGACTAGACCAGACAGCCCGAAACTACGTGTAGAAAATCTTTCCTTCCCTTCACCTTTTGAGGTGAAAAGCAAATTTCTTTATCTATCTACACTTAGGTCTTACATGGCCGTCGTCCTCCTTTAAGAGAGAAATAGAATGACAGACATGCATATATATCGACTCGGCTTCTGATATTAATCAAGAATATAGTACATATATACTTTAAGGGGAATAGACTACAAATTTGAAACAACCTTAAGAAGAATATAACAAGTGAGAAAAGCTAACATATCTTCCGTATAAAGAGAAAAAATTAAATTGATTTTTGTAGAACAATCTTAGCCCATATATAAATCGAGCTGATCCTTAAAAATCATTCAGCTTGAATATGATTTGATAATTTTAATTTATATATTTTTTAGATGTGCTCATGAAATTTTTCGCCGACGGGATAAAAGTATATCGGCGCGCTCGTGTCCGGCGTGCAATAAATTGCTGAGCTCCCGCCTGCAGCTCTATGGGAACGAGATCACAGCCGAAACTGAGAACTTCGATGGAGATGGTGCTAGGATCGCGACGCTAAACGCGAATGGACTCAATCTCGATGGATTTATGTCGCTCAACTCGGAAACTCTGTTGCCGCTGCCAACGCGAGCCTCGGGTAATGAGTCCGCCGTATTCTGTAACGGGCTCCAAAACAAATCAATACCCAGCATAGCGAACACGGCTCTACTCCTGACAGCAAATGCTTCTCCCAACGCCGTCTACCGCAGCAATTTGTCGCTGGCTTCCCTGAATATGCGAGCCTCGAGCCTGACCATCGACAGCGGAAGGAACGCGACATCTTCCGTCTAGGCTCAAGGTCCAGATAATCAAACACATAACATAGCTTATAGACAGAATTTTTTTGATTCCTCAAACGCCAATAATTATTTTTCTAATTATCGCTAACTAGGCTTTCGAGACTTTTCAGTTGTTAAAGAAAATTTTGTGGGAGTGTGTTCCATAGGACTTTTTTGGGACTCTCGGCGTTATATTTTCTATCTTAAGCTTTCTGATTTTAAGGTACCATTTTTTATACTCTGAACCGATCTGTATGAAATATTCTGCATTAGATCTACTTCTGTAGATCTTATGCTCCTATACTCCTTTAAATAATGTCCAGTTCAAATTAGGGTATTTATTTATTTATTAGGGCATTATTCATTTGTTATGTAATGATTTAATTTGGTGAAATTTCGTTGAAACCTGATCAAAAACAGAATTTAGTTTTAAATCCCTGACTGCAATAAGTTAAGGAGGGCTAGTCAGACAGATGGGCATGGCTAGAGCGGAGTTGGGTTGGGAGAGGCTTCCTTCTGCCTGTTACAGACATTTGTACAAAACCAATATACATTTTGCCATATATAAACAGTGAAAAACTATTGAAGGGTTTATTTAAAGCTATGAAGAAAAGGCACATTAAACAGGCGACAAAAGAGGTGTCTATTTTATTTGTATTTATCGATTGGAAACGGGGATAGTTATAGATAGTCGGAAAAATAAACTCGTTCTACGACGGACGGACGGAAATGGCTAGATCGAATCGAATTGATGCTGACTGAGAATATATATACTACTACTGCCTGCACAAATCTTTTTGTCTTACCTATTTTCGATGGGTTCAGTGTATAAAAACTTGGCCAAAGAAGAACCACGGGGGTTAATACATGAATTCCACATTTCCTTAAAATTCTAATATCTGAAATCATATTTGATTCATTTTGAGAATATAAATAAAACATCCAATTAGAGGAGGAATAGCTTCAGAGCTCTGCTTCGTTTTGTTGGGTAAAAGGAAGAAAGCAAAAGAGACCTAAGTACCTAAATCAAAATGACACACAAATTGTTAAAGTTTCAAAGATTTAAATGAATAGCTAGTTATACCTAACACACAGATAACATAGAATCCTACATATGTAGACTTTTATAGCTCGTAAACATATATTAAATAACACGAGTATCCGTTAATCAATTCGTACATAAATATTTATGAATTAATAATTGAGTATGAAAATAAATACACTCAGAAAATCTATATGAATTAATAATTGAGCGTGAAAAGAAATACATGCAGAAAAAATAGGCCGTATTGATGTCAAATTTAGAAATGCACCTTTTTTTAGTCATTAAGTTCATTTTGAAAAATAATTTAAATTGAATTAGCTAATATAAATGCATGAACATAATTTCATATCTTGAATTAATAAAGTTTTAATTCACTTAGCAAAACGCATGAAATATTTCTAATCAAAAGAATTTTCTGAAACCAATTAAATTTTAAATTTCAATTTGATTATCTAAATGAAGGCAATTTTTTTTTTTTTGGTGTACTTGTAAGAATAAAAATAAAAGTAACCAAAATAATTAACTAACTTAATATTTAAGTTATTGTTGCAACCTTTAAATATGCCTGTAAACAATTCCATAAGTATATTCAGTAAAACACCTGAAATTGTGTATATGTATTTTAGTCATGATGTTTAAGGCGATTCGCAAGATTTTAACTATTCTTATCTATGAAGCACATAAGTATTTAAGCACACCTAATTTTTAAGTGGTTATTAAGTACAGATCGTCACCCATGACAACTGTTGGACAAAGTCAATCACTGATGAAATCAATTGTATTTTCTCTATAATAGTTGTTAATAAAATGCCGTTGGATATCTTATTCTTTCAGTATCGAACCGCCAACTTGCTACATTTCGCTGCTGGGCTAGTCGGAAGTGTCCGACTAGAAGACCCAACGCCCCGCGCCGAGTTACTTTTACATACAGTCCAGCTTCCTAAGGTAGGTATTAAAAAAACAAAAAATTCCTAGTGCTACTACTACCCTATATATACGTACATACCTACATAGATAAAGACATACATATACATACATACATACAAACATGCATAAATAAATACATACATACATGCATACACTCATACATACTTAAAAATACATATACATATACATACATATATACATACATACATTCATACACACATACATTCGTGCATATATACATGCATAAATAAATAAATATATACATACCTACATAAATAAATAAATATATATATACATACATTAATTAATAAATAAATAAATAATTATATGCATACATACATACCTACATACATACCTTCATACATACATACTTACCTACATATCTGCTCCGTTCCCTTAGTGCTTCTTCGGCTCCTCAGCTTCGAAGCCTGCGACCTTACTTACATTTTTAAGAATCTAGGTGGAGTACAGCTTTAATAAATGTGTTTCCTTATTTAAATTTGCATCGCGACAAGACAAATTGGTCTACATACATACATACATACATAAATAGTCACATACATACAAATATACACACACATACAAACACATACACACACATTCACATACACACATACTTGCAAAGATAAACACATACACAAATTCATACATTCATTCATTCATACCTGCATGCATATATATACACATGCATACTTCCATACATACATATTTACATATATATATATATATATATATACAAAATCAATTTGGTATCTAAATCTGGCAGCAGATAAATGGATCGATTTGGTTATTGACGCTGATCAAGAATATATATTTCAGGTTTATGGTTATAAAATCTGTAACATTCTCTTTGCGCTAGTCAAAAAACTTTTGTAAGTACGTGGATCTCGCGATCTTGCGTCTATCTTGGAGGAGAACAATTTTTACGTGTGCTTCTTGAGCGATCACGTCTATGCAGAAAAGATGGACCTATGCAAAGTTTCCAGATAATATCATTAAGACTGAGAGAGTGGCTTTGTTTATACAGAGGGATATGATTAAAAATGAATACTTGACTTGTTATTGATGACATAGTTCGTGACAAAATCATCATACCCTCTAGAAGGGTTTAAAAAGATATATATATTATTTTGAATGACACATGCGCGTTAAGGCTAAGACCGAATTCATGTCAAATCGTAATCTATCAGATTAACACATATACATATGCATATGTGTATATAGATACCAATACCTATATATATATATATAAAATATAAAATATATATTTTTAGGAGGACTCATAAGTTAGTTTGAGTCTTTATTGTAGAAAACAAGTGATTCGAGTTATTGTTGGTTAAAGCACACACAGTTTCTGTTTAGTTGAACGAAAAAAGTTGCTCAGAGAGTAAGCAACAACAGTAACAGTATTCGAAAATAGAGAGCGCATGCGCCGTTATTTTTTGTGGGGTAGGTTGGCGTTGCCACATCCAAAGGAAGTAGTTGCCTGGTCAGTAGCACCTGCAATTACAGACAAATTCTGTTATTATTATTTTATTATTTATTATTATTGATTTATTATTATTTTAAATGAAAATTTCAATACGCATTCTCGATGGCCCAATGCAAACAGAGCACGTTTTTCCAGTCAAAAGAGTACGCTGCAAATACAAATATTTCATGTGGCAACTCTCCTGCGGTAACAAGGGTGGTTGGGTTGGTGCTTTTGGGGGGTAGGGGTCGCTCATCAGGCTTAAGATACTTGTGTGTATATGTGGCTGTTAGTTTCAGTTCAGTTCAAATTGTGTATATTCTGCGTGCGGCCGAAACCTTGCGCAACGCGGGCTCTCGGTCACATATACATAATAAAATTGTACAACGCACGCACACACACACACACATGCACGATAAATACATACATTTGTACTGTGCCAGTTTCAAATAAATATATAATTGTAAAAAGTTCCGAAAATTTTTGATAATAATTCGTGCGAAAATTTTTACCCAACCTGCTACAGCGCAAGACCTAATTTAATACATATATAGGAAATCTGAGGCTGTGCCGACTCCATGTGAAAATGGCACTATGTTTCAATTGTTTATAATAAACTTAAGTGTACTTAAAAACTAACAAATAAAACAAACGACCCAGTAAAGATGTAGCCAAGACCCAGCAATGTCTTAAGGTAAAATTGGATGCGAATATTTGTGGAAAAAGCTTTATTTTCAAATGTGAAAACAACCCCAAGAGCCCCCTTTTAGCACACATACACACAAACACAGACAGCTACATGATATAAAAACATAAACACTCAAAGCGACAAACATATGCATGCATGTACATACATACATACATAACTTGGCATGCGTATGCATGTACATAGCAAGAGACTCGATTTGCATGAGCGTGATGGCGCGCGTGTGTGTGTGGGTCGCAGTTACAGTAAAGTTGTTAGTGCGAAAAAAAGACATGTATGCATGTTGTAAAAAAAAATCCTAGATTATAACCATTTAAATAAGACAAAATTACAAAAAATACATATACATGCACGCATACACAAAATAAGTTAAATATGTACGTTCGTGTGTGTTATTTGTCGAAACGAAATCAACCCTTAAGGCTTGGCGACGATGGCAACGGACAGGGACGAAAACAAAACGAAGTCAGGAAACTGACAACAAATAAGAAACAAATATGTATCCGTAATATATATTCAACGAAACACGTATCCACTAAAATTAGTCGGACTAGTTAAGGGATTAGCATTAGCGTGTGACCAAATTTTTTTTTGGGAAGTCCCCCAAACAGTCGATAAAAGCCAGTGAAAAAGTATATAATAAAGTTGTGCAACACTTGCCTTTAAAGATGGACTGGAACACCAAAAGAAAAAATTGTTGGTCGTTTGGTTTGCGGTTCGAGCCGACTTCCTGTCATGAGTGGAGCTTATTTTTCACATGTTCAAGCGCAGGTCTTAGTTCAAGTGGTGGACTTTTCATTAATTCGCTTTGCTTTGGTTTGGTTTATTTGAAAGTATAAGTATTTACTACATATTAACCATGTATTAGGATTAATAATAACCAGACCATTGTATAGGCACGCCAAAATTGGCATGTACTACATAACACGGCAATTTTTCGTTTCTCTAAATGAAAAACAAAAAAAATGATGATGAGAAGGGCTTACTTTGGCACGCCGAACATTTAATACTCTTGCAGGGCCAACCCTTTCATAATCTTCATAGTGCTTTGCCCGTAGCTAAGAAAATATCAGGAAAAATAGTTAATGCCAAGTATGGTTAAGATATCTTAAAAAACAAAATAATAAATTGCGATTTCGGTAAAGATATCTTAAAAAACAAAAAAAGTTTTCAATAAAACCTAATTGTCGACCGATCGTTCCGATGGCACCTATATGATATAATAGTCCGATGTTATATATGAGGAGCATAGTAAAACGAATAAGTGCCGAGCCTATTGATCCACTCTGAACAAAACTGATCACGGCTCGAATGAATGCTTCTATTCGTCTTGGTTAACTAGTTTTTCACATTCATGATCATTCCTATAACAGCTTCATAATATACATATATATACCTTAGTAAGGTAAGAGACCGCGAGGGTATTTAACATATGAAGTACACTAACTGGTGTTAAGATATTATTTACTTGCCCAGTTATTGCTTGAGAGTCTTGGAAAACGCGGTAATTACACGCTAGATTCCACTATAAATAACCACAGCTCAGAACTAAAGCTCGAATCCTTATTGATGTTAAGTGTTACTTATACAACTCATTTTGTATGTTTTATTACAGGGTACACGTCAGCCGTGAGCTGAAATCGAAAGCTGGATCTCGGAACTCGGATCTCGGAAATTCCATATTTGCGATACCTGAGAAACTTTGAACGGGTAGTTTGAGGAATGGAATCGATGAATGAAATAATTGATTCCCAACCGTTCAGCCAGCAGCTGATTGTGGAAACAAGTGAATATATTGGAGTTGAATCAGCACACCAGACGCAGACGAAGACGCCGGAGGGCGAAGTTGGTGATGCGGTGACAGGGATGAAGTACGCAAAGCCACGCTTAGATCTGCATTCACCGGCGGCTCTAAGCAGCACCATGCAGACTCTGATCGCGACACACACGGACAGCAGCCGGATTCATGATGATGAGGAGGATTCCACCTCTGTGGTTATGGTTATTGACGAGATGGGTCACAACAATTTACAGGCGACCTATCAAATTGTGCCTCAACAGCTTCAACTGCAGGGCGGCAGGAGTCTGCCCATGTCCCTGCTACCGATACACCAGGAGCGTCATAGTCCAGTCGATTTCGGCGGTTCCGACATAAGCCTCGACGGGTTGAGCGTAAGTACAGCATCCCAGATAATTGCAGTCAAGCAAGAGCACAAGCTGGTCATTGTACGCGAAAATGCCGATGTCAATGGGATCAATCGGCGCGCTAGCCCTCATATCGACATTAACATGTCGAATATCAATGTGAGCGTCATCGATGAGCTATCCTCTGACGGTGGCGGTGGCATGGAGGAGGTCACTCTTAACCAACACCACCAACAGCTTTTGGATGACCAGCACCACCAGGACCATCAGCATCAACACCACCAGCACCAACAATATGGTCATCGACTTGCCGCATCCTCATCGGAATTGATCCATCACCAAGTCCAGCAGCAACAGCAGCAGCGTCAACATCAACGTACAGTACAACTGGGAATGGGCAGTCATGGAAGTCATGGTCATCATCGGGAGGCGCTGTCCGTTATTGTGCAGGCGCCGGAGGATGAGGAGGACATCGATGACGACGAGGATGATGATGATCGCGACTCTGGGGGTCAGCTGCTTAGCCCTGCTTTGGCCGTTGACAATGCACTGGAGCATAGCACTTACCAGACCTTGACTTCGGTCAACAATCGCATATCAGAGCCGGGCTTCAGCCCAACGTCATATGCAACGCTGACGCCCATCCAGCCGCTTCCGCCCATATCCACGATGTCAGATAAGTTCGCCTATGTGGGCCACATTTCAGGCAGCACGAGTTCGTCGGGCAGCGCTAATGGCAGCACCAGTTCGACTAGCAGGATCAACAACTGTGACCCTGGTGGCACTGCGCATGGCTCATTCCCTAGCTTACCTATGCCCATTGAGGGCGCACATCCGGGCTCTTTGGGTAATCTAAGTTTGAGTGGTTTGGGCGGTGTTCAGTCGCCGTATTCCTCCTATGATAAATTGCCTTCGCTAATCTCACCTCCGCCTCACAACTTTGCCAGCTCGCCACCGCACGGACTGTCCGGAATGGTTGGCTCGTGCGATCTGCACACTCACAGCTCGTCGGTGGCGTCGCCGGTGCCTGGGTCGGTGCCAGGTGGTTGTGATACGCTCTCGCCTCACTCCGAATTGCACTCGCACTCGCATTCGCCTCAACTTCAGGGGAATGTTAATTTGAATGTGCATACAGCAGCAACACCGGGCCAGCAGGGACATGGACATGGACATGGACACGGTATTGGACATGGTCAAGCTATGCAACTGGCACCGGTAGCTCTTCAGAAACAGATCATATGCCTTTCGCCAACGGGTGGCATTTCCGACGGGGTCGTTGTCAGCGATTATGAATCATCCTACCGCACACATCATCATCATGAGCATGAACTTCTCATGGCCACGTCCTCCACATCCAACAATTCAACTGGCGGTCGCAGCTCTCAGCTAAGGTTGCAGCACAGTCCAACGCTTAGTCCGCATTCGGTGTCTGCCGGTTCCGTGGTCTCCATGTCGTTGCACTCGCCGGCATCCGTTGTAACGCTGCCGAATATGAACGGATCCGTTGCAAATTTATCGGTTGACTTGCCCGTTGTTGTCTCGCTTTCGCCGACACCACCGCCCGGCGATAATTCCATTGCTGCTGGCATTGATGAAATTGTCCAGCGACAGAGTCAAAAGCAACACCAACAGCACGGTCATCAAGGTCAGCACGACGGCAATGAATGCAATCCCAACAGCGACCATAACCTAAACAATAACTTGGAAGTGTGCAATATAAATCAACACCAGAACGGATTCGTCGGTGAACGACAGACCCAACCCAAGCTGGCAACGCATTCCCCAAAATTAACTGGAGTCGCATCGGTCTCCAGCAACGTCTCCTCAACTGCTGCTGCTGCGGTCAACAATCGTTCGAATGGTCCCAATGACATGGAGGAGATCAATACCAAGGAACTGGCTCAACGCATCTCTGCCGAGCTGAAGCGTTATAGCATACCGCAAGCGATTTTTGCACAGCGTGTGCTTTGCCGATCGCAGGGTACACTGTCGGATTTATTGCGCAACCCGAAGCCATGGTCCAAGCTCAAATCGGGCCGAGAGACCTTCCGCCGCATGTTCAAATGGCTCCAAGAGCCAGAGTTTCAGCGCATGTCTGCCTTGCGCATGGCAGCCGCACAGATACCACAGCGACCAGCAACTGGTTCTGGTTCTGGGTCCGGTTCTGGTTCGGGGGTGGGTAGCATGGGAAACGTTGCCTTCTCATCAGGCTCAGGATCATCAACGGCCCCCGCCGTGGTGTTAACCAACACAAGCTCGGACGCATCGCATGGGTCGACTATTTCAAGAAATGGTAAGTTAAATATTGATATGACCATAAGTGAGGCAAGTCGGGAGTTTAAGGTCTTAAGGTATGTCAAACTGGATAGTTAATAAGTGAGAGCAACAATCAGTTTCTTAGCTTGTGTTTACTTAGCCCATTGATTGGGACCGCTGAATGTTTTTCGGCCAACCTCTATAAATAGGGTCTTTTATTCAATTTCAATTTTATGTAACTCAACCCCTGTGCTTAAGCGCCTTAAAGTCTGTCAAACTGGCAAGTTTCTTAGCTAGTGTTTGCTTAGCCCTTTGATTGGGTCCTCGGAATGTGTTTGGACCAACCGATATGAATAGGGCATAGACCAGTTTTGAATGTCTTTATTACAATTTTATGTGAATCAGCCCCTGTACTGGAAAATAAATAAATAATGAGTAATGAGTGGGCAACAGTGAGTTTCTTAGCTAGTGTTTACTTAGCCCATTAATTGGGACCGCTGAATGTTCTTCGGCCAACCTATGTAAATAGGGTCTAGACCAGTTTTGGATGTTTTGATTCAAATTTCATGTGGAATGCTTATCGATTGGAGGTTAGCGTATGGAGGGTAGACTAATTGAATACATTCGAGCATTGTTAATTGATTATATTTAATATATTTTGTTTGATCCTTTGCAGCCGTGTTAGGGGGATCTGCGGGCTCTGGTGTTGGTGCCGGGTCCAATTGCCGTCGCAAGGAGGAGCCGCATATAGAACAAATGCCGCAGCCAAAAAAGCCACGTTTGGTATTTACGGATCTGCAGCGGCGGACACTACAAGCAATTTTTAAGGTAAGTGAAATAGCGCGACAATTATGGGACAATTGAGTGTAATTTGGAGACTGTTTTAGGAAACAAAGAGGCCTTCAAAGGAGATGCAAGTGACAATTGCACGCCAGCTGGGACTGGAGCCGACCACGGTGGGTAACTTCTTTATGAACGCTCGTCGACGCTCCATGGACAAGTGGCGCGATGACGACACCAAGAATGCACAGCATCCGCACAGTCGGCATCCGCATCAGGAGGAGACGGACGAGAGGGAGAGCAACAGTGGAACTCATGGGCACTACGGAAGTTTGCATACGACAGCCATGTCGCCGCTGGGCAACTTCGACGATGAGGGCGAAATGGACCTGGACCTGGAGCATCATGATTTCTTGGTTGACGATCACGATCAAGATGGCGATGAGCACGACGACATGTTGTGACATAATGGCAAATACACGCGAAGAACACAGCGCAGCAAACAGTCCCAGAATGAAAATATTAACCAGAATTCCTGCACTCGCACCTATACTCACAGCCACAGCTACAGCCACACCGACAACGATTCCGATTCCGAATCCAAATCGGATGCGGATAATAATATGAGTCCAGGTCCAAGCCCCAATAGGAAGCTCGTTTTATCTAAGCGTACAAAAAGATTTCAAAATCATAGGAATCGGATAGTGAGAACAGCCTTCAACGTAAACCCTGATGATCTACGCGACTTTCAACTAGTCGAGCTGGAGTCGGAAAAGGAAACGCACCCACAAACTACTCAGACGCGATCGCATCCAGACTCCGACCCGGACTCGTTACCGGGTCAATGGTCGCCCAGTTTGGTTGTGCAACAGGCGGACATATCTATTGATGGCTTAGGGGTTCCCGATTGCATTGAGTACCTGTATAATCAGGTAGAAATGGACGTTGATTGTCACGATAGTTTGCTAGCTAGCATCAACTCTGCAAAGCTAGTATCAGTTCGCTTAGGTTCTAACTATTATAAAGATCCCAAATTAAAACTAAATGATCGTTGGTCGACCAAGCTTCAATTACACCACTTCAATTAACTTCGTTTCCAGTTCTTTCTGCTCACAAGAGTTATCTAAAATTATTGATCCTTACAAGCTTACACCTACACACATAAAAAGGGAGGTTTTGAGGTACCACATCCCTAGTTTGTTCGACGGTGCACAACTAGGAGATACTCAGCAATGCTTCAATAAGTCCGTAAGCTGTTCTATTGTAGTTATCCTTGCTTTCTAAGTGCATGCTGGGACCTTTTTATCTAACATCCGATCGACCTAAAACTCAGTTCAAGAGATCTTTGTTCAAATTCATTTCACACTTTTCGCAAAATCCCCAGCTCCTTGGTGGAAAATGGGTGTACAAGATTTCCTACTTCTTGGTAAAATGGTACGAAAATTTATTTTTTGGCACGATGGAAAATGTGTGGAAAAGTGATATCTTAAATAGGGTATTAGGCCGGGGAGAAACTCTAATTTAATAAATGGGTAATTGATACCTTCGGGGTAAAATCGCTCAAACTGTTTTTTATGTGTTTCCTGTGTAACACATACAGAATGAATCCCAATTATTCAAGAAACAATTTTCCAAAGTGCGAAGATATCTTCTAGTTGAGTATCTAACAGTCTTTCTTATTTTTTCTCAAATGAAAGAACTTATCAATTCCACAAGCATTTTGGAACTAACGTCGTAGTACAGAAAAGTCTTTGGAAGTTTCACTTGGTTTACTTTCAATGAAAACCAATATAATATGCTCAGTAGGGTATATATGGTTTTTGTGTGATGTAACCATTAAAAAAAGTCCTTGTAAATTAAGCAAATTTCTTTGGTACCTGATTCTTAAAAATTCAGTTTATTTTGTAAGACATTTCTTTGAGAATCTTTCTCTTACCCAATACTGTTAAGTAGTAGAAAATAGTACTGTACAGCTAATGTGGCAATATATGTATGTATGTACTAACCTCTGCGAGCGCAATATTTTTGTTTAAATTTTAAACAAGCTCGGACATGTACACACCCACACTCACATACACACACACACACACACACCAACACACACAGGCTTTAAAAGGCAAGGACATGAACACACACACTCTTGAAAACGCATGTACATAGATACAGACATTATTAAATGCGTTTGAAACCGAGTGATGCTAACTTTTAAAATCTCACAAAAAGAATGTCAAAGAAAATGTAACTGTAAATCTAGTCAAATTTATAAAATAAACAATGTACAACTGAATACAAATATAATAATAATAATAATAATAACAATAATAATAATAATAATAATAATAATAATAGCAATAATAATAATAATAATAATAATAATAATAGTAATACACTGAAGTCATTTAAACATAATCACACACAAATAACACTATGTGTAAATACTGTAATGCTTTTTACATTATCGAAATTAAACTATTTGTATATACGCGCGTACTGTTAGAAATGTACATACATAAACACACACACCCACACATGTGCATAATGTATGTATGTACATAAGTATGTACGGTTATTTAGTTTTGCAACTACCAAAAAAAAAAAAATACCAATATTTAATGTCTTTATATTTTCTCACTGAAGATAGAATCCAAACATTTAGAAACAAGTAGCACGAATGACTTAATATATAATATTATATTAGTTATCTGTCTGCATATATATATATATGGTATATATATGCATACTTCTTATTATTTAACAGTTATTAAAGAGAAATATGAACACGAATGCGAATACTCATACAGATGCAGTGCTAAGATATATGCTAGTCAATTTAGTCTAAACGAGGTGCAAACACATACAATGCACATACAATGAACACTACAAATATTATAAATGGAGTGCGTACATTTGCGTATGTAGACCCATTCAAATACTTACATACATATGTATAAATAAGGTAAATGCAATAAATAAAACAAATCCAAATTCCGAAAATAGTTGTCATTTTAGAAGCGAAACTTTGAAATTCATTACTAAAGCATCTCTAACTATATAATTTAAATATTTTTTTAACTGCCTCTCCTACTCATTCTTTACGTATCATATCTGAAAGAACTGTGTAATAAATGACATCTAGCACATGAAATTATTCGTCTGTTATTATAAGAAGTTTCTTCGATGCCAAGAAAAAGGATTACAAACTATTTGCTGCTACTGTCCATGACATGTCATTGAGTGCGTCTTCTGTAGTATTATAGAAATGTTCGCATTGGTGGGGAGGAGGAGGTTAACATGCGAAAGCCTACAAAATTCCCCAATTTTATGGGGAAGGTAAAAATCTAAAGCAAACTGGTCTTACAAATTTCCCAACGAAAACCTACTGTCAACTTACGGCCCGCTAACGAGAATATTTATAGAGTTCCCGTCAACTCGATGTTACAGTTGGATTCCGAGCATCTTCTGTCGTTTAATTTAGTAACTGAAATAATTTTGAAAGCCCGAAACCTATTAAACCCTCAGATGGAAACTAATATTACATCTCAATTAAATGCGAGACTTCCAAGTGATACAGGAACTGACGTTGGAAACTACTAAATAATTCTAAATATGATGTTTTGTGAAGATCCGATATTTAAGAAAAAGCTGTAATTTTGGTGTTACGTATTTTTTCAATAGTGCATTAATTGTTTGGTCTAGTACAATATTCTTACCAAAATAAATGTCTGATATATTATCGAAATGATCGAATGCATCTAAGCATGTTATCGATAGTTAGTAAGAAATGGTTCACTCTTTTCCGTTCTATTTCCAATTACTACATATTAAATTTATCTATTTACATCAAGAAATTCGGGATTAGCTTATTTGTTGAAAATACTGTCTCATTTGCGTATTCTTTATGAAATAAGCCAAGCAGTTACTCATAAGTATCCGCTATTTATATTACCGTACACGTCATGCAGTCGTAACGTACCGCGAGAAACCAGTACCAAAATAATACTTTTAGTATTTTCGAACACACATTGTGTATTTCATAGAAGGAGCATGCCAAGTGGCTGTGCGATTTGTATTTACAAATTAAAAATAAATTAAATTCTTGCGCGAACAATATTTATTTGTAAATAACTCGCTATCAAATAATTTTGCAAGCACTGCAAAAGGAATGTTGAGCTATTTTGCATTCTAGTATAATTTTTTCAAGCTAATTGTGTCATTTGTGTGTGTGTGTGTGTGTTTTGTGTGTATACAGAATTTTTTTTGTTGTTTTGTTTGAATGGAAGCGTTTATACACAAACACAAATAAGCTTATGTGTGTGTATTTTAAATGAAATAAATAAAGTAAAGTGAGACTGAATGGGCAAGCCGGAGATAATATTCTCCACTGCGACCATGGACAAAAAATAACCCAAATTCACATAGAAATACAGACGGTCCAAGCAATCCCAAACCAGAGCAGCACGAACACACTCGAGTGTTCCATGCAGGCAAATCTAGAATGCTGTCCGCAACAACTGGAGGCGTCAGCCAATCATCACCAACGAACCCCGATGGAGCCAATAAAATTGATGGCTTGAAAACGGTTAAGGTGAAGACCGAACCCTTTTCCACTCTATCGCCAGGTGAGAAAGGCAGCGTGAATTCCTTAATAAACAATAACATGCTGTTTTTTTGATTTTTTTTTTTAGAGAACGCAAGCAATCAAAACCAAACCATGTCAGATGAAGTGGACGCACCTGCCAAAAACATAAGCAGCGCAAGCAACAACAACAACAACAACAACAACAACAGTAATAATAATAATAATAACAACGGCAGTAAAATCACAACAAATCCGAATACAAGCAACGTGAATGCATCTGGGACATCAGATGTGGGTGTCGGCGGCGGCGGTGTCCCGGTCCCAGCCAGCGCTCTGAGACAGAATTTATCAAATAATAGCGCCAACTCGCCACCAAACAATGCCGGCGATCACTCGAATACGAACAGCAACAGCAGCAACAGCAACAATTCCGGCAGCCTCTCGCAGAGGGTGAATTCGGAAGGGGACCTGCACCCGGAGGATCTGCTAAAGAAAAAGAAGAGCAGCGCAAAGGACGAGGATTGTGGTAAGAGATCTATAATTCAATTATTTAACATTATCCCAATCGCTACAAATTCCATTTAAAAAGTTTTTTGAGGCCGGGCGAGTTGCATTAATATTTTTTGAATCTTTTAGATAATATGGAGGACCGACCCTATAAAGTATTATTGATTAGTACAAAAGCTCATTCGATACAGCAATGTCGGTTTGTCTCCTTCTAAGCAAACTCTGTTTTAAAACAGTCATCATGAAATTTTGTATGAATCCGTCTTTTTGTTGAAGGCCGGATCGGATAACTTTTCTTGTGTTACACGACTCATAAAAGTAATTCTATCGAAAATTGTCTGTTTTCAAAAGACATTCACAAATCGCAGCATTTATGAGCTTATTTTAATCGGCAAATAAGTCCCAACTTGAGTCATAAATTTAAGCATAGTTAGATAGATTACAAAGTATATTTCTGTGGCGAACTTTGTCGAGTCGGAAGAATTCAAAAATATAAAAGATGAAATGTCACCAGCAAGTATGGAAAAAACCAGCAAAAATTCCAAAGATCTTTGTTCAAATTCATTTCAGGGCTGTTTCACTCTTTTCGGAAATCAATTCCTCCTTGGTATTAATAGGGGTCAAAGATTTGGGTGGTAAAATTTCGCGTTCGAATTTATTTTTCAAAGAGCTTTACGAAAGATCATTTGAGGCATGCTTCACAGATTACATCGGCATCCTCGGCGAAAAGATTTTTAAGATTTTTTCTTCTATTTGTTTTTAAACCTATTTCTAAATTCTTATAAAAGAACTAAATGAATTCGTGTATCAGCAAAACATTCTTGTTTAAAGTCGGCTTCAAATTCAATTTCAAATATCTTTGTCAGAATTGATTTGATAAATTTTTTCAAAGCTATTCTCCCTTGGATGAGCAGGGAACTTAACCCACCAAATCTTTGAATCCCACAGAAGGCACAGATTTGACGAAATGTTTGAAACACGGCTCAAAT